ACGAATTTTCAACGTTTTGGTGAGAATTGATTTTCGACCAAATCATGAAAAATGTAAGTTTGTGGAGATAAGATGGAAAACGAATTCCATGAAAAACTTTTACTATCAAACACACAAAATTGGTGGAAAATGGATTTTCCATGGAAATTGTGCAAATCAAATATGGCCTAAATGTGTTTGATTGGTATAATTTTTCACCTGAAAAATGTTGAAATTTTGAATCTTTTGGTGTTCGTTTGACTTTATTTATCATGAAAATTATCAATTAAATGGATATATTTTTTTACAATTGTGGATAAAATTTATTTCCATTGCCCAAAAAAAAAAGTTGGAAAACCCATTTTTCCACCAAACCTGGAAAATGCAAAAAAAATTTCCATATCAAACATGGCCTTATAGGAATTTAGAATTAAAAACCTGTGCAACTGGAATTTATTATTATTATTATTATTTTTTTTTTTTTAAGTTTAGAAAATTCTTCAAATATGTCCTTTTGATATATGATTCCACTTGTATGGCTGACCTGATTTAATTATATATACTCCAACTTCCCTCTCTTCAATTAATATTTTTGGCAAAATTCTTGCCTCGTACTTAAGCTCGCTCGCTCTCTCTCTCTCTCTCTCTCTCTCTCTCTCTCGTGAATGATTATCTTTTGACAGAAACAAAATTCCTTGATCTCTTTAAACAAAAAGAACAACTATACCCATAATTCTCATCAAAATAATTCTGTTAGAGACGTTCACCCACTTAGAAAGATTTCCTCATCGATCGAATATCTGTTGCTGTAACCTTCTTCACAACGTGAATTCCAATAATTTTTAATTATGTGATTGATGATTGTTTGAAAAATAACTACTGTTGGTATCTGTTGATATTACCACAAATTGTGTGGATATGAAAAATAGCACCATTGTACGTGTAAAATCTGGATGTACTTTTCAAGCCAACATAGCTTTCTTTCCTTCAATAAAACTATTTGTACATCCGGGGTTGACACCTCGGATGACACTCCTCTCACAAGAGAGGGGGGTCCACACGTAATAAAATAATTATGGGTCCCTCTCTTGTGATGGAGTGTCATTTGAGGTGTCAACCTTGGATGTACAGATAGCAAAGTCCTCTTTCCTTTAAATTAAAATAAGAGAGATGCTACATTTCCAGAAAAATAGATGATATGGTAGTTGGCAGATTCTCACAATTGGGGGTCCCACTTTTTTTTTTTCAAAATATTTTATTCAGCGGGTCCCACAAACAATGTGAGTATTTGTCAAAATGCATGTCAACCATTTTTCTGTACAAATGATTTTTCTTTTAAAATAATGGACAAGCTGGCTCGACATACGTCAATGAACAGGTACTCCAAGAACCTGAAGCACGAAATCTTGGGGGGCGTGTGGTTGGTGGAATTTTTCAACGTCTTGCAGCACGCTTACTACAGCAAATTCTCCGAGTTCCACCATCAAGTTCTGCTCCAACATCGTAAGTATTGTCCATTTATAAGCTGATTCAAGTTCTTTTATTCCTTCGCCTGGGTTGGAAGGCCAACTCCCTCCCGAATCAGCAATGAGTGATATAGAATAGGAGCTGATGAAAAGGAAATCAAAGTAAATAACATTTATATTTTCATTCATTTCGATGTAATTGTCCAATGATGGTAATAGTTGGATGTCCTTATGAAACCCAACCAGTGTCCCAGAGAAAAGTGACGAGACAGCGTGGGGGTTTCATTGTGTAAAATATGAAGTGAATTATACGGGATATCAATAGAATTATTCTTGATCTGTAACTTTTGCAGGACTTACTATTAACTTATTCACCAATTAAATATATGTGTGCGTGCGCGCGTGCATGAACATTATGCGTAATGCAGTTGACACATGATTGTCAACCATATTTGTACGCATAGTTTTATTCATGGCGTAAATCCCTTACAAATGCGGACTAACATGAATACAAGAAATTGCATCTCGTCCAGAAGCACAAATTGTTGTCAATTTTATTGGATTGGAACAAAAATATTGCATCAAACTTTGATATTCTAATCTGCCCCAACCAAATTTTGAGTAATGCCTCTAGTCACACCAATGAAAAGCTAAAGTCATCTGCATATGTTTATATGACGCGCACAATCATAAATTTCTGATTGTACCAATTGATGTCTCTCTGCTTCCTTGGCGAATAAAATCAGTTTGGAAGTTCTTGGTGGGATTTTTATGGATTTATGGACAAGAATCTTTGTCAATTGTTGAATGCAAGCCATTCAAAGGAAAATTTTATCAGAGATTTGCTGATTGAGGAGGAAGAAGTTCTCCTCTGGTTAATCTTTAAAAATGCCCAATCGTTTGAGAAGATGTTCAAGTTCGAAAGACGCGCAATGATGATTAAGAAAGATACAACCCAAAATTGCTTCACACTATAGATTCGCCCATTTTCGCCTTTGCTCTGATGGAAAATCCATATGTATTCGTTTACGATGCAGTTCTTGGAGCCTTCATAAATTGTCTTCGCCCATTTCAAGCTTTACGATCTACACTGACATGCTAAGGAATGTTATATCTCCCAGTAGTTTTACATTCCCGGCAATAACTAAGAGCTGTAGAGTTTTATCTGCTGTGGGATTTGGGGAATGTGTTCATAGACAGGTCTGGAAATACGGGTTCCCATCGCACATTCTATGTTCTAACTGCAATTGTTGATTTTTAATTAGAGTTTGGTGTAGGGTTTTTGAGTCAAAGATGCTGTTCGATGAAATGCCTGAAAGAGATGGTTTCGCTTGGTCTGCAATGATCGAAGCTCGAGATGTTTGGGATTTGGTTTCAGAGAAGAGGTTGTTTGATGAAATTACGGAGAAAAACATTGCTCCGTGGAATACAATGATTAATGAATCATGGATATGTGAGAGTTAGCGATGTTAACTCTGCAGAAGAGTTATTTTTGTGATGCTTGAGAAGGATTTGATTTCGTGGACGACAATGATACGTTGTCATGAAAAAACAAGCAATGCGCTGTTATTTGAGCCCATTTTTTCATCAAAATACATTCTTCAACAGTGATTTGACCCTATTTCAACTACACATTCTTTGATAAAATAATATTACTCACAAATTCATGAATTTTCTTTACTTTTTAACCACATTTCTCATTAATACATTGTTCAAAAATGCATTTTACGTTTTTTACAAGAATGGGGCTCAACATGTTAGAGCCTTTCTATGAACTGAAGAATGAAGAAGTTCAACCTGATGAAGTGACCATGTCGACAGTACCCATCTTGGGGCACTGAACCAACGGAAGGAAATACATATCTATGCAATGCAAAGTGGTTATAATCTCGATGTTTATATTGGGTCTGCATTGATTGATATGTATGTGAAGTGTGGCGTCTTGGAGATGGTGCTTTTGGTATTTTTCAAATTACAGGGGAAAAATCTGTTCTGTTGGTATTCAGTAATTGATGGGCTTGCTGTTCATGGGCACGCTGTAAAAGCATTATTAGTGATGTTTAGCCGAATGGAGAACATAAAACCAAATGATGTGACCTTCGTTGGTATTCTTGGTGCTAGTACTCGTGCAGGACTTGTGGAAAAAGGCCGAAGGATATTCTTTAACATGACAACAAAAATTAAACACTATGGGTGTATGATTGATTACACGAAGCTGCCTTTGTAAGCTTTACAAGAACTAGGAGATTGATCGAGTTGCTGTTAATCGATTGATAGTATTGATATTATACCTTTTTTAGTTAACATGTATGCTGAAGCAAAGTTGCAAGAATTAGGACAATAATGAAGGAACATGGAGTAGAAAAGAGAAGCCGAGGTTCGAGCTGGATTGAAGTGGAAAATAAGACGCACCAGTTTTCTGCTTGTGAAATCATCCAGCATCAAGAGAAATTTACTCTCTCTGGATGTGTTAGATGTGCAAGGGTTGCGGTAGCTGAGGGCCAATATTTGGATGCTATACACCGTGTAGGTCAATCTTGTTCACCGAGCACAAAAGTAACTAGGTAAAAAGTTGGGGTCTTCTTCGACAGCGAATCTAGAATTTTGACAGATATGTTTTCTTTAGAATTCCTTAAAATTTCTTTATTTTTATTTAATTTTTCAGTAGACTGACTGAGGGAGGATATAACAAGTCGTCAACTGAGTAGTCGAGGTTAGATTCATGTTGGAGGAGATTTAGGTAGAGCGTGTTAAGCATCAGATAGATGCAGTCATTATCAAGTTGTTCCGTTTACGAGACGAAAATGAAGAAATGACTGCACTAGCTACAAGCATATCCAAAATATATATCCAGGATAATATATTGATATGGTGTATCAGAATCTATCATCATCAACTCTTTGAAATTTGTAAAAAAGACGTAAGAAATGGAAACACCAGTATTCTGGATTTCCTAGCCAACTCCAAATCCACTATGATAGCTAGTGATGTTAAATCCAATGATTAAATTTAGATAATTTAACTTACCAAAACTACTTACATCTAACCTTTGCTGAAATTTCTTTCTTTGCTGTTTGCTCCACCCACCTTAAATTTATAAGCTAATTGCTTGCCATACGAGACTGAGGCAAGGGATCACAGATGGTGGTGGGCACAAACTGCTTCCCATTATCAACCTACACACTATCACCAATATAATTATGTATGATTATAAATAAAAAAACAGATGGATATAATGTTAAAACAGATCAAGAACAGCTAGCTAGGATCTTGCTTAGAAATCTGCAATTTATATTTATCATGGGCGAAGAATATCTGTCATCTCTCCCAGTCCTCGACTCATCCTTGATCACTACCATAGCTTTTGTAGCAGTACTTGTCTCGTTAATCATTACTATTTTTATCATTATTGGCGAAACAGGAAAACTTTATTCAACGAGATCAAAGCCTTTGAATCTTCCTCCGGGCAGCTATGGATGGCCAATTCTTGGTGAAACATTGGAATTTCTTGGAGCGGGCGTGGATGGGATACCAGAGAAATACATTAAAGAGAGAATGGAAAAGTACCAGTCCACTGAGGTGTTCAAGACTTCACTTATGGGTGAACCTGTAGCAGTTTTGTGCAGCCCCGCCGGGAATAAGTTCCTGTTTAGTAATGAGAATAAACTGGTCACAATTTGGTGGCCGAACTCTGTCAGGAAGCTGCTTGGACCCTGTCTAGCCACTACTAGTGGGGATGAAGGGAAGCAAATGAGGAAAATGCTATCTTGTTTCATAACTCCTGATGCATTTACAAGGCTCTATATTAAAACTATGGATGTCGTAGCCCAGCAACACATCAATACTCACTGGCTAGGTATGACTATTGCACAAATGAACGTATATAGTACAATATATATTTCTAAATTCGGGTGTATTCTGATATTCTTAAGACCATTAAACTACATAATATTTTTGTGTGAAGGTAAAGAAGAGTTGAAGGTGTTCCCAATCATCAAACTATATACGTTTGAACTTGCATGTCGCCTCTTTATGAGCCTTGAAAACCCTCAGCAAATTGCCAAACTTGCTGCCCTGTTTAATGTCTTCTTGAAGGGGATAATCTCAGTCCCTCTTAACTTCCCTGGAACAAGATTCTTCAATGCAAAGAGAGCGACAATTGCTATTAAGAAACAACTACAAACGATAGTCAGAAACAGGAGAGTAGCTCTAGAACAGGAAACTGCTTCAGCTTCACAAGACCTTTTATCACATTTGCTAGCCCATCCTGATGAAAATGGCAAGTTTATGCCTGAATCAGTTATCGTGAATAATATATTGATGCTACTCTTTGCTGGTCACGACACCTCTAGTGTTGCCATAACTATGCTGATGAAGAGACTTGGACAACTTCCTCAAACTTATGAAAAGGTATTCAGAGGTAAGTGGAAAACCCCTTTGCTTCACCTTGTTGCCATATCCATTTCTAATGATTTTTGTTTCAAATCAGAGCAAGGTGCAATTGCATCATCCAAAGAAGCAGGGGAATTTCTACAGTGGGAGGATATACAGAAGATGAAGTACTCGTGGAATGTAGTGTCTGAAACTATGAGACTATCACCACCTGTCATAGGTGCTTTTAGAGAAGCGCTAGTCGATTTTAAGTATGCAGGTTATGACATTCCCAAGGGATGGAAGGTATTTTTTTCTTATTTATTCATACATCTTTTATGAGATTCTCCATGAATTGCAGAATTTTCTTTCCCATTTTTTTTACAAGGAATTCAAGAATTTCCATAACAGTTATTTATTTGCCTTCGAACTCATGATTCGTGACCGAATTATGCTGTTGCAACAGTTATACTGGAGTGCCTCTTTGGCGCACACAGATTCTAGCTTGTTTCAAGAGAACATAAATTTTGATCCATCAAGATATGAAAGGGCAGGACCTATTCCATTTTCTTATGTTCCATTTGGAGGGGGACCCCGGATGTGCTTGGGAAAAGAGTTTGCTCGACTGGAAATACTTATATTTCTACACAACATTGTTAAGAGATTTCAATGGGATTTACTGATTCCTGATGAGAAAGTAGAATATGATCCTTTGCCCACTCCAGTCAAAGGACTTCCAGTTCATCTTCATCCTCACAAGCCTTTAGATGTTGTAGCTTCTTATGTTGATGCTTCATTGCATTAGTTGAAGAAAATTGGAGATTGATATTGAGAAATATAGTCAATCCCATGTATTAAGTTTCAGCACTAGCTAGGTTCATTGGAACTTTTGTCAGGATTGAGGAAGAAACTCAAGTGCACTGATGCAGAACAGGCATCTTAATCTTCACCTAGCTTAAATAGAATTTTAGTAGGTAAAAGTTTGTTCAATGAAAATTTCCACTGTATTTCCTTGAGTAAATTTTGGTCGTGTACTTGATATTCATGATAGAGAAATGGAATCAAGAATTAAAATTCATTATGATTAAAATTGACAACTCTCTACTTTCTTTTAGTCTTTGTGTAAACATATGCATATGATTGACTAAATTGTAAAACAATTGAAACAACCAATCTCTAACCAGATAATCCAAGTGTTATCTTGAGTAAGTATTCCTAATATGCAAAATTCAATAATGGGAACCTCCTTACGCTAGGTCCAGTAGGAGATCGGCATTTTAAACGTCTGAATTCTGTTGGAAATCTTTCGGAAAGTAAGCCTAGCTCCTCCAAATTATTGGTGTAGACTGCCGCTTTTATTCCTTATTGAATATGCCGAATATTGACTTGATAGCATTGATAGCATTTTCATTGATAAACGATTCATCAAACTTCTTCATGAGAGGTTCGAATTCCTCAGATGCCCTTATGTTGGCAAGGTCAGGATCTGTCCTGATTCTCTATCAAAATGGCATCACACAGAACAGTTTTATGATAACTAGTCTAAACATAACAAGGAATGGTTTTAATCCTAGGTAACTTACCTTAAAATCTTCAAATTCGCCTTTCAGAGCATCCTCTAGGGCAGACAGGCCAGCTTGTATCTGGGATAAGTTATAACAGAAGGTGACGGTTTTAGAGAAGAAAATGAGAAAAGGGCAGGTAATTACTCAATAAATACACACCCACATGCCTACTGAAACAATGTTAACTACAATAACAATGAAATGGCATGCCATGCACCATTCTTAGATAGAAGGACCTTTCATTGTCCTTGGTATATATTGTGACGAGTGCTAACTCAATTGGAACCAGTAAAATGGCCAATTCATAATGGGTTTGAACTATTGTTTACCTGATTAAGCTTCGAATAACAGCATGCTACGTTGTAACTTGCCACAGATGCTTCATTTGGCTCTGGTTTTGATCCCAATACTGACTCAAATTTCTCCAGTGCCTCTTCGTACTTGGCATTCCTTCACCCATTATTACAAGAAAAAACAACGTAACCAAGTTATTTTTAAATTCTGAGGCTGGATTTGACTTAGCATTAGCAAACTACATTGTACAAACTCAATAGTTGATGTGGCACAGAGAGTAAAGAGTACAGGGCTTTTAGAGACTATCCGAGGACGGACGCAAAGCAACAACAAACTAACCTTATTTCAAATAAATTTGTAATTAGCTACATTGATCTTTATTGCCTATTCTGTTTATTGCTTTAGATTTCCCTTTCCCAACTATATCTATTTAGGTATCTAAAGCAACTACTCATTCAAAATTATCACAGGCCAAATTAATTTTGGACGCCCAAACTAAGTATCATTTTCGTGTAGCCCAAAATCCAAGCACTTAAAAATATTAAAGCTCAATTTCGCAATGTAGAAGGTTCAAAAAAGAGGTTTTTCAACCCCCAGGCTCGACCATAACCCTTGAGCAAATCAAATCATCATTGTGTTGAAATCGTGAAAGAAAGAGAAGAGGAGACATAGCATAGATTGTACAATTGAAGGAGATATGCAACAAGAATAGACAAGGATAAAAGTAGTGCAATGCAATCTAGATGAAACGTGGGGCTTTACTTGTAAAGCTGCAATCCTTCTTGAAGGTCTTTCTCTCTCTGTTGTTTCTGCTCTTTTTTCCTAAGGTAATTTTGCATCTGCAATCAATTACAAGTTTAATATTACAATAGGGATGAATTAAGATGTTCGGTAATATAAGAAAAATTAACCAAAATCGAGATGACTCACTTGAATTTCTCTCACTCTGCCACTGATAACACCAGAGTTCCTCTCATTTCTGATAACTTCCTTTTCAGTCAACTCGCCACCAGTATCCACCTTTCCTAATAAGCGAAAACCATGCTACTAAGGATAAAACATTATGCAAGCCTTCATTTCACCAACGTTTACATTTATGGGAAATGTGAATGTCAAATTCAAATGTTAATAGGACTCCAGTTCTTATTCACATTTGAAGCTATAAATAAAGCAAAATACCATCATTTCCATTCCATAAGCTTTCTCTATAGTAAAGAATTGTAATTAATTGTCAACACGAGCAATAGCATGCTTCAATCAGCGTGGGAAGATGGTAACCAACGTAAATTAATTACCATATCTCTTCTGCATTTTCATGAGTAGTGGACCAATTCTTTGTCGAATGGTATACATGGTTCTTCCATATTCAGCCGCAGGCCATATTTCTTCACCAAAAACTGCACTGAATTAATAATTTTGTTTCATTGCTTAATTTATCACATTTGATTTGATTTCTAAAGCAGAGACTATTACCAAATTCATTAGATCCATTGAAAAAAGTGGTGTATAAATCTGCAGAAATGAATCAGAAATTACCTTGTGGCAAGCACTTTGTCCCCAACAGTGAACTGCCCAGTTTGATCAGCTGAACCACCAGGTGCAATGGCATCAATGTAAGTCCCACCATCTCTACCCTTGGCAAATCTCAATCCGTAGGGCTGCACAATTTCAACTTCATACTCTTCATATTTTTCCTCTTCTGATTCTGAGGTCTCTTCAGTCTCTGTTTCGGAAGCTTTAAAAATCAAACTGCTCGAACTATTAGTAGCGTTAAACAATGGATGAAAAACAACATTGTTCTTCTGATTGATCTTCAGTAAAGAGCAGAAAGCTAATGGGGTGTGCTTAGCCATGGCTGTGACTCTAGTATTTCCATTTCTGAGCAAAGATGGAGATGAAGAACATAGAGAAGCCACAGGCGCCATAGTTATCAATGAATTGTAGCTCTGTCGATCACGAAGTTGAAGAAACGAATGATTAATTGAGCTTCATGCTGATTTCTGGTGTTGCAGTTCCAAAGAGATTACAGGAGGAAGAGTGACTAGCGGCTCTAATAAGCCCTTCAATTTTATGCTTCCACGTGGCACTTTGGAAATCGAATTGTGGATTTGCCCAATTACGAATCAGAATATTCTTGCTCTCTATATAAATTAAGGAGTTAGATTGGTAGCAGATTTTGATAAAAATTGATAAAATATATTATTAAAAAATTATTATATTATACATATGATTAAAATTAATTGTTGACATTGACTTATATTAAAATTTATATTTTAATTCTTACCAAACAAAATATTGCCCATGATTCATAACTTTTTCCCATATTTTAATTACACATTATTCAAAAAAAATATTTTCCACAAAATAACTTCTTAAAAAATAACATCAAGCAAGGACTAAACACGTTAAGTTTACACGTTTGACGCAGTTTAAATTATAACTTAAGATGATTAAATATATTTTTATTCACGTACTTAGTGAAATCAACAACTTATAAACACCTAAAAACACTAAAAACGAGCATGGTGTTGTTTTTCATCTTAAATTAGTGCCCTAAAATATGACGTACAATATGTTCTAGCAAGCAACACACTTAAAGTTGATGAAATATATATATATATATATAGTAAAAAAAAATTGATAAAAATTATAAATCCTATACAATGTGTGGTTAAATTAAAGTTTGACTTATTGTACAAAATTATAACAATCGACCTCTATATTGAAATCGATATCATACGTATTCTCCACTTTAAAAGCACTTAAACTAAATGTTGGCAATAATGATTTTAGTCGTGCTTGATGCTTCCAATTGCATATTTTTTCCCTTTTCTTTTTAAATCGAGGCTGGTATCTACAATGTTTGAGTTTACATGATTTTGGTTCCTTAACTTTCAAATTTGGTTCTCAATCTATTTAAACTTATGAAATATTACAATGTTTGAGTTTACATGATTTTGGTTCCTTAACTTTTAAATTTGGTTCTCAATCTATTTAAACTTATGAAATATGACATTCAGGCGACTTAAAAATTGAACTTTAAGTGATTTGACGATTTTACTCTTGCGAAAATTTTGTGCAATTTTAACATTTGTATTAATGATTTCCATCATGTAAGAAATAAGATCCATTTGTAACCTCACTTATGAAGGTCATATCCAAAATATTATACTAATTGAAAGGTCAAGGAGTATTGTTAGTCTTAACCTACTTAATTTGGATAAATTTCTCCAAGGATTCACAAGTATGGCAATCATGTTCCTAACTTTCAACACTATAAAAGTATTAGTTTCAAGGAAATCAAATTGGTATTCCATCTTCAGCCCCTCAACCTTCTATTTTCCATTGCAGTTCTGTATACTAACAAACAGTTTAAAATTGCAACAAACACAATCTACAACAGGGTCACACTCCTCCATAAAACAGGAAATTCCTCGGAAAAATTGCAACTCAAGATCGAATAAGGTTACATTATTCATGTCATCACAATTACATGTTGAATTGCAAATCGGAAATAAGCCGTATCCATGCATGCCAATCTTGGTGGATTTATCTTCTAACCTACAAATAATTATATAAAACTAAGTTCCTGCAACCAACTTGAACTGTAGTATGTTGACAAAATATATGTGGAATGCAGATCAATTCGGAACTTGGAACAACCACCAGCAGTTTCTCATATCCAGTTTGCTTAGTAACCGTATCCTGACAAGATCACAAAGTACCTCAGTACTGCTAAAATGGAGAAAAGCAAACTGTGGGATTCATTAAATATAAAGGTATAATGAGTAAATATACCTGAATTGTCCATTGGGTTCCCAGCAGGAACTGGTTCAGGCTCCTTGATCTCAACAACTACACAGTCGGACATCAAGAATGTCTTGGCCACGGAGGCTGCGTGTTCTAAGCAACATCTGACCACCTACACGCAACATAGAAACTGCTAAATCTCTAGAAGAATTTTGCTGAGTTAACAGGCCTACCAACACTCACACTAAGTGGGTCCGCAGGGGACCCACTTGTATAACCTGTACATGAAGTGCCACTCTCTAGAAACCATGTACTGAAAAATGAACAAAGTGTCATATTCGTAAGCTTTTACAGCCAATATACCAATAGAATAAGGGCTTTGCTACTTGTACATAAAAAATGGTACATAAAATGACGGGAAGGGGAAAGATTGGATAAAAAAAATTGATTGTGTTTTAAAAGTACAAATGATAAAATGGTACGCAAGGCATTACATAAAATGACGTGGAGGAAAATGATTGAATAAAAAAGTTGATTGTGTTTTAAGCTGGCAAACGATTGGGTGAAATCTGATATTATGTAACTCATTATATAAAGCTTGATATACATGGTTTATAGAATAATATTTGTCAAATAAGCACCATTACAGGATTGATCGAACCAACATAACAAATCACACGAGAGGAACACAATGCACCCATAATCCATTTTCTTCTTTTCATCACATCCTTTATAGAAAAAGCATCACGATAACTGACAGTCATCAAAGGTGGATACTCACCCAACAACTTCATATTCCAAATTCTAGAAACCCCTCCCAATACCCAAGTGTCTAAACATGAACAAGAAAAAAAAAATCAAAGAAAGGAAGCAATATTCCTACACCTTTTAGTCTTACTAAGATAGGCACAAAATAAAGATAAGAATTACGAATTCAAATTTTAGAGCCTAACAAGATGCTTTATCAGCATAAAGAAAATATTCACAATATATCATATCACCTTGGTTGGATCAATTATCCCAGCAGACATTAAATCTTCATACTCTCCGGTGGCAGCATTGTATCCATATCTTGGATCATCACTAGAGAGCACCTAAACGTACAATAATTAAACAGAAATGTCGGATTAGTCATAAAACTTGAATACGTTAAATTATGACATTATATGCAATACAACCAACCACATAACATATTTATAACCACTGATGCACAGAAAACAACTAGGTTTTTAGGTTTCTCAATTGGTAAATTTAATCGACAAATACCCAATAATTCATATACCTTCTCACTTACAACACTTCCATTGACACCAGCATTTTTGGCAATCAACTTCAGAGGGTAACTCAAAGCTCTTTTGACAATATCTGCCCCAACCTACATTTTAGTGGCATTTTGAGTTATAATCAGCATATAACATCGTTGAGCATCGTCACAGCATATCAAGGACTGTCCTACGAAACTTGCAATGCTAACCAGTATCAACTTGCAATAAGACATTTCTTGTAAGTATACCCTAAATTTGAACGTGGATAATTAAAAATCTTGCATCCGGATATTTTACCTTCTCTTCATCATTCTCCAGGGTTTCCTTAATGGCATCAACCTTGGATGCCAGTCTCAGCAAAGTACATCCACCTCCAACAACAATTCCCTCCTCAACAGCTGCCTGTAAGCCATATATAACATCATATTTTAGAGGTACATTCTTTCAACCAGCAGAATCATAGAACAAAATTTTCTAGTAAATTGAACCATATATCTCCACCAACAGCATACCTTCGTTGCATTAAGAGCATCTTCTACTCTAAGCTTCTTCTCTTTTAGCTCTGTTTCAGTTTGAGCTCCAACCTTTGAGTTGGAAATTTTAATCAGCAATGCCGTAATTCACTTTTCAGATAAATGAAAATTGCAAACTTCACTTGACTCAAAAGTTACCTGGATCACTGCTACACCTCCCGATAACTTTGCAATTCTTTCATTCAGTTTTTCCTTTTCATAATCTTGCTCTGCAGCCTGCTAAAACAATAACAGGTCAAGGACAAAGGCACAGTGAACCATGTCAATATAATAACGTAGGTCAAACAGACGCACCTCAATAAGGTTTCTTATCTGTGCAACACGCTTATTTACAGCTTCCTGAGTGCTTCCATCACCAACAATTGTCGTAGCATCCTTGGTCAACACCACCTTTGCAGCCGTGCCCAGAACTTCTTTGTCAGCCTTGTCTAAGGTAAGCCCAACTTCTTCTCTAATAACAGTAGCTACATGCCAAGGAGAGAATAAATTAACTCAGGAATAATGTAGGCCAAACAAGTTGACAGGAAAAAAGAAATGAACAAGCCCAGATAGCATCAAAGGGAATAGCACGTGAGAATCAGAAAAAAGGAAATTAAAAATTACCTCCAGTTAGAATTGCAATGTCGTCGAGATACTGACTCTTCCTTTCACCAAAACCAGGAGCCTTGAGAGCAGCAATTTTCAAGGTTCCCCTTAGCTTGTTGACCACCAGAGTTGCCAGAGCTTCTTGCTCAATATCTTCAGCAATTATCAAAACAGGGTACCCACCTCGAATAGCATCTTCCAATACGTTAATAAGATCCCTTGCGTTTGTTATTTTCTTGTCAACAAGTAGTAACTACGCAAACAAATCAAAAGTTAGAAAACGGTATTAATTATTCCCAAAAGTAGAGAATTAGAATGCCTACCTTGCAGTTCTCAAACTCAACAGACATTTTCTCACTGTCGGTAACAAAGTAAGGAGAGATGTAGCCACGATCAAACTGCATTCCTTCCACAACATACAGATTATTTTCGGCACTTTTTCCCTCTTCAAGAGTCACAACACCCTTCCGGCCAACTTTGCTCAATGCTTCAGCAATCATGTTTCCTACTTCGTAGTTATTCCCAGCACTTACAGCAGCAACATCAGCCAGTTCACTATCTTCCACCTACAATTTGTCATTTGCAAAGAAGCACATGACATTTAGTAACTAAGGCAACCAAGCGTCAAGGTATAAGCAAACACAACTCCGAAATAGAATTATGCCTCAAATTTTCTTGGGAAACTATTAACTGGCAAGGTACCTCTTTTGACATTGACTTGAGCTCAGACACTAAGGCTTTGGAGGTTTTCTCAATTCCTCTGGTAATAAGGACAGGATTTGCACCAGCTGCCACCACCTGACATGCAGAATTAGAAATCTGATTAGTTTCCCAAACCCATAAGAGGAGATATAGCTGTATACCATTTGATAAACATACCTTAACACCTTCAGTAATGAGACCTTGTGCAAGAACAACAGATGTTGTCGTCCCATCACCAGCCAAGTCATTAGTCTTTGCAGCAGCTTGCCTCACCAATTTAGCACCAATGTTCTCAACTGGATCCTCCAACTCAACCTGCTCAGGAATCATGAACAACGCATTCTCATAAATGGAACCTGATATATCACAGGAGATGAAGATGGAACTAGCAAAGCATTGGGACAAGGTTTTCACTAGGACGTGTGGTGTTATTCAAGGAAAATGAATGACTTAGTAACCCAAAAAAAATCAGTAAATGGCTTTATCGTAACAATGCAATGGTAGAAATATCGGTAGCTAACAGTTATTGGGCAAACAAAATATTTAATTCAAAAAACTTCAAAAATATATCATTCTTAGAGAACAAAGTGCTTGTGCAAGTAGTTAGCTATAAATTAAAATACCCCCACATGCTTAAACTAAATAGCCCATCAAGCAACCACATGTATCCAGCCAATGAAATTATTCAAAAGTCAGCATACCTCTTTAGCCACTGTAACTCCATCATTGACAATTTTTGGGGCACCATACTTGCTCTCTAGAACAACATTTCTACCTTTAGGTCCAAGGGTAACACCAACTAAATCAGCAAGCTTGTTCACACCAATCTTAAACAAGAGAAACCTCGGTCAAGAACTTGCCCTGTACAGAGTGAAATTTGAAATAGTACAGTAACACAAACACCAGGTTCTTAGACTCACTTGCAATTTCTTAATAGCTGATCCATCCTTGTTGAAATACAACTCCTTTGCAACTGCTCTTATCTGGGGAGTGGAGGTTTTCTGGAGGTTAATATTCTTTCTCCTTCCAAATGAACTTGAAGATATAGAAGCCAAAGATGACAACTTGTTGGAAGAAGTTGCAAGTTTGTGATCCCGGCAGCTGGGAGCAGCTAAGGAGCCAACTGAGGACATACCAGTAAAAGTTGATGCCATTTTCTCCTAAAACATAATACAGACAACAGAGTTAGCAGCTTCTAAGGAGAATTCGAACAATGTAGAATAATATTTTTGCAATACAGAAAAGAACAGAAGATATAATGTATTCACTGCAACCAAGCAAAGGCAGGAAAAAGAAGTTTCGTGAAGAAGAATTTTCGTAAAATGACTCTCTAAATATTTGCTGTTAAATTCACCAAAAAGATAAACAATCCAAGGATTTTAGAAGATTGAATTTTTTTTATTGGTTTTCGAACTGAATATAAACTAAAGCTAACTTTCTTCAATTTCATAGAAACAAAAGCCTAAATCAAGAAATGGCAAAGCATTTCCAGCTTGCAATCTCGAGACTTGACTCAAAAGCTCGAGATATCCAACATAACAATCCTTGAAAAGAACCCGACTTTAGAAACAAACATAGCTTTTCTCTTCATTATTAATAGAGACATAGCTTCCAAACAAATATCATATGACCACAAACTTTAAATTACAAACAAAACCCAGAAGCCAAATTCCTAAAACACAGCGTATTCAACATAAAAACAAAATCACTAAACAGGAAAAGGTGAATGAGAAATGCAATTACAGGAAACACGTATAAAAAGAATTCAGATGTTATCCATTTCATTTGACGAACATTCTTTGAAAAAAAAAAAGTCCATTTAATTAATAAAGAACTTTGATTAATAACTTACAATAAGAATTTGGGGTTTTTGTTGGTGTAAATGAGAAGAAGGTGCAAGGAGGAGAAGTTTTATCCCGGACCTGAAACTGTGAGAATTGAGATACAAGCTAGGGTTTACTGGTGTGTGTAAAATTTATTGTAGGAAGAAGTTGGTGGGACACTGACAATGGAATAACGGTCACGTTTACTCTTGAAGCTTCCACTTCATCTCAGCCGTTGATCCGTCCTGCTCCCATAATTGGTTCTGCTTGCCCGTGCACTCGGAACACTCTAGAATTTGGTTCCCTGCTCTTTCTCAAGGAATTTATCCCGTCATATTTTCTTAACGTTTCTATTTTTTTTTTTTTTTTAAAGGCAATAAAATTTCGTATAAACTTTGTTCAATTGATTAATTGCACTTTTAGTTTGATATCAATCAAATAATTCTGTTCAATTCCATCAATTAAATTGACTAAAATCAATGACACAATAAATACTTATCTTTGTATTTATTTATATACAATGATCGTAATTTATTATTTGACACATCATTGACTCCATTCCTAAAAATTATCTTAGTTAAAATCAAATTAAAGTTTAACAATTCGATTGAAAAAATTAAAATTAGATTACCTGATCACATTAGAAAAAAGCATAATTATTGCAAATGAAATTTGCTCTCCTTTTTAGAATCGCTCAAGGTGAAATAATCCACTATCTAATTTTTTATTTTTAAAAGGTCAAAGTCAAATATAAAAGTCATGAAAGAATGATTTAATGAGTATCGATACTCAACCATGTCATATTAATTCATTAGTAGATAATAAATTTAATTCAAAAGTTAAGATAACATGTTATCGATGCTTAATATGAGATAAGCACCAATGATCATTAAATCATTTCTTTACAATCTTAGTTAAAAAAAAAAAAAAAAAAGAAAGCTTGTATCTTCTTATTCAATGTGTTTGCACCGTGAATAAAACTGAGTTGAGGTAGAGGAATCGAAGAGTCGATTTAGCCGTAAACAACATTAATTTATGATTAAATATAGTTTTAATTCGAGTCAACCAATTTCATAAAACGAAATAAAGTGATGCTGACCATACAAACAAGAAGGTCAAGGTCAACAAGAATAGCCTATTTATTGACTTTGTTCAATTTGAGAACATAATTAGCCCCAATTTGGTTTAGCTAAAAATCACATTTTTGATAGATTTTGATAAAAGTTCTTCAAACGTATAACTTAAAAAATGAGTTTGAATAAAAATGAATTTAAGAAAATGGGAGCCAAACAAAGGTTTCTAAATTAAACCCTTATTTGGCCCCATTTTTAAAATTCATTTTTTCCTAACCTCATTTTTAATCACTCGTTTCATCAATCCTTATTAAAATCTAATTTTTACAAAAACCAAACAGGGGACAAATTACACATTCAATCATCTTCTCAATTCATGATGCCTATGCATGTAAACATCAAAGATACTCACTCATTCCTGCGTTAACCAAAAAGACAAAACATACAGGCTAAACCACTACCTTTCAACAAAACCAAATAATATATATAAACTACTTTTAGGTATACTCAACAAAACCAAATAATATATACAAGAAGATCAAAAACAAATCTACTAAAGCCCAAAACTGAGTGTAATCTTGTTATTTTGAGTTCTCACCAATACTAATTAACAATAGTGAAACTAGACTTCTGAGTTGTGATGTGTTCGAAGGGATCCTGAAGAGGCTCTAAGGAATCTACAATGTCTCGCATTAGAGGCCGTGCTTTTGGATTACGATTTAAACAATGGTAAGCAAGCATGGCTGCTTTATGAACACCTTTTACTGGATAATCACCTCCTAATCTTGGATCTACTATGTTAAGCAATTTCTTCTTTTCTTTAAGCAAGGGGATAGCCCAATCTGTAAGATTCTGTTCTCGAGCTGGTCTTGATTTATCTAAAGATTTTCTCCCGGTCAAAAGTTCAAGTAGTACAACACCAAAGCTATACACATCGCTCCTAGGAGTTAAATGACCTGTATATGTGTAAATGCAATAAAGATATAAGAATTAATTAGGTCCAAACATGTTTATATAATATCAACATCAGATATTAACTGGTTATGCGCACAAACTTATCCATTAGAGTTAAATACGTACCTGTCATAATATATTCGGGTGCAGCATATCCATAAGTCCCCATGATCCGAGTGGAAACATGAGATTTGTCCCCAACTGGTCCATCTTTTGCTAGGCCAAAATCAGAGAGTTTTGCATTGTAGTCCTGTGCGTTTAAGTTGCACACATTGCAAATTATAATCATAAACTGGAGCCACAAAATAGATAATGCAACTATTTGTACGATTCTTTCAGGCATAGCCTCTCTTTTTACGTTAGCCTCCCCAGGATGGTTATACAACTGCTGTTCGTTAGATTATGACACAGGTGACGTCAACGTTGCTGAAAGTAACTAATAAGAAAGACGTCTTTCATTGGAAACTCAACTGAAACTCAACTGCACGAATCCGTATGTATATCTTAGTGACGAATTAGGGAGGGTTTTCAGTAACTAACCATGTCCAATAAAATATTAGATGTCTTAAAATCACGGTAGATGACAGGTTTCTCAGCGTCATGCAAAAAAGCAAGCCCTTTTGCTGCACCAAAAGCTATCTTCATTCTGATAGACCATGGAAGAGGAAGCAATACTCCTGCACTAGCAAGCAACGAGTGAACTACATAAAACAAAAAGAAGATGATATCAACCCAAATTTTAATGCAAACTAAAAACATTACACCAAATAAAAAACTTTCTTGTAAGTCTCGAATGCAGAGAACTATGTTGCTATATGTAAGAATGAGTTGTGATTAAACAAAGGAAGAGTCATTACTCACTACTAATTGATGACCTAAATAAATCTTGAATATCTAAGACGAAGATAAGTTACAGTGGCATATATAATTGCAGATTTAAGGTTTCAAACTTTGAAAAGTCCAGACCTGCATATCTTTAAATCCGTCTTCCTTCAATAAGTAGAAATCAACATTTTAAAACGGAAACAATCCAACTTTTAAACCGTCGATTGCTTACTTGAAAATAGATTGTTTTCCACACTGCCTCTGGCCATGTATTCATATACTAGAACTCGATGTTCATCTTCACAGCAATATCCAATCAATTTCACTAAATTTGGATGAGAAAGCTGCCCCAAAAAGATAACCTCGGCCTACAAACGACAGGAAACTCATCAGAAATAACATACAAAAAAAAAATGTAAAATGTAAAGCTTTCAATGCGGGCAAGCATAAATTTGAAAAATTACCAGCCATTCTCTATGGCCTTGATAACTATTGTCTCCATTGTGAACCTTAGCAGCTACCACGATTGGCTGAAGAAGCCCATCTTTTAAATCTTGGGAAATGTATCCTTTGTACACGCTTCCGAATCCTCCTCCACCCAACATATAATCTTGTCTGAAGTTTTCAGTGATGATCTTAAGTTCATCGAATGAAAACACTGTTAAAGGATTGCTTCCCGAACTCTGGCGCAGGTGTTCTACTTCTTCAGGATTTAATGGTAGCTTACTATCATCTTTTCTTGGTCTTTCTGATGGACTTTGTTCCTTTGCCAAGTCTAAACAAATTAGTAGCAATTAATCTCTCAGGACTCAGGAGTGACAACATAATTAATTATATGATAAGCATAATTATTTTGTCAAAGACAACTACTTATCCCTTGTTTGATTTTGAATTTTTGAGGAGTGATTTTGGGAAAAGTGATTTTTTTTTGGAGAATGTGTAGCTAAAAAGTATGGAAACGTTTTGCTTCCATGTGCAAAATTATTTTCTTACGAGAATGTATGGTTGAAAATGAATTTAAGGAAAAGTGATTTTGAAAAATTCAAAATTAAACAAGGGCTTAATCATTTTATGTTTGTGCAGAAAGAAAATAAAAGAGAGAAGAATAATAGGAAGAACAGAGAGATTTTTATGTCGGGCAATCATGCAAGTATTAATCGAAAAGCAAATGGAACAAGATTTCACTCCCATAAAGGATGACCATGTAACGATCTAAAAAACAATATAATACAAAATGTTATATTAAACTATGAAAAGAAAAGGTTGGTGCTGTTAGAAAAGAACATTGTGAATGAAGATAAGAAAGGGAGAAATTCCAAAAAAAAAAAAAAAAAAAAAAAAAAAAAAAAAAAAAAAAAAAAAAAAAAAAATGAAGAAGGAAAGAGATAACATCAATTGAAATTTTAACTGATAAGTCCATTGGGTGTGTCTTTTGAATTAAAAGAATATTAGTAGTATCATTAAAAGTCAAAATCTTCGAATATTATATTTATTCTGCATTCTGACTCTCCAGTATTCTGCACATATACATGGAATCCAGCATTGTGTATTCTGGTTGTGTTAATTACCATAGACAACATTAACATTATATACTATAGAGCAACAAACAGATATCATAAAATCTGCAATCTTTTCAGTGCATGTACAAAGCATTAATTCATGACAAATTACACTACTTAGTCTAAATTCCCATTCACCAATTTGATGATTTTTTTGCAAGTACATCTGATTCTCTAACATTGTTCACCCATTCTTATGCAATTCAAATTTTTAACAGAGAGTAATATTATATGGCATGAATGTTAAGGAATGTAATTTAAATGTCTTCTGTCATGGGATTACTTCACAAAATAAGAAATCAAGAATAAACTCATGGCAAAGATCATGGGATTATTACAAATTAGTTGGCTCACATTTAGCTTTCCTTAGTGTGGATATTTACCACTAATATTACTTAATCCCTTTATTACCTACAGTGTCTACCATTTTCGGTGCTGGATTGAAGAAGCCTTGTATTATATGTATGTATGATGTTCAATAAATAAAATACCGCTTTCCAACATCACTTTCTATCAAAGTTCTCATGCTATTTGAGCGGGTTTAATCCGAACTTGGGTAAAACTTGCAAGCTTGTGCTTTTGGCTAGTGGCCTCATGCCGTTCGTCAAGCCAAGTTTTCTGATGCGGACATCCATTTATTATTTATTTTCTATTTGGACTATTAGTTATATTTTATTTGGACTATTGTTTATGTTTTCGTTATTGGGCTTGTTTAGTGGGTTTGGCCCAAACCCTTCTCTTTAGGGTTTGTGTTCTGTTATTTATTTCTGTTTTGTTTCTCATTTGAGATAGTTGATGATAAATTAGAATTGAAAGTTGGTTTTGGCTTGCAGCCGGCCGTTTCCCCCCTTGCTTCTCCCTTTCTGTCCCCTGGTCTCCCCTCGTTCCCCCTTGTTTCTCTCCGGTTCCTCCCACTTTCTTACTGCTTCCGCCTTCTTCTGGTTATGCTATATTCTGTCTGTTCTAACTACTTTGCAGGAATTCATTTTCATCCTGCATCAATATGGTATCAGAGCTGAAACTTGGGAATATTTCAATTGTCTTTCAGATATTTTTCCACTCATTTACAATCCAAAACTTTTCTTCACATTCTCTTCCCAAAACCCTTGTACAGAAACACAGACGAAATAGTTTGTTTGAGGCAGCAGTTTTCTTTTCTTTCAATTTTCCTTCTTGGTTAAATTAAAAAAAAAAAAAATAGAGGCTGCTACTGTTCACGGGTACTGTTCATACCTGAGAGAAATTTATTATTGTTATTTTTTTTCATCAGTTCTTGAAAAAAAAAAAAAAAAGTCTCGTTCTTTTTATTTATTTTTTTTGCTGCCCAAGCAAGTGTGCTGCCCAACAAACCCTAGAATTCCAAGTCCAAGCCAAACCCAATTAGTTCCAATCCAATTATTCACAAATCTCCAAACCCAATACCCATCCCCGTGTCACAAATAGCCCAAACCCAGTAATTGCAGGCCCATAAAATTAGTGTCTATCTTCCACGAAGCCCTCATATTAGCCCAATTCCTTGCAGCCCAAAAACTCAAATCTTAACCATCACAACAGCAAATCATAATCCATATATACAACACCAACCCAGCCTGTCACCTCCGGCCCAATTACAGCAACCCAATAGCCCATACAACATTAACCCAGCCCACATTAGCTATTACCCACACAAGTCACAAACCAGCCCAATTCTTTCATCTTCTTCAACACATTTAGCTTCAAATCGTGCCACCGCCACTGTCCAGTCCACCACTGTCATCACCATCTGCAACCTCTTGACTCGTCTATAGCTCTATCACCAACGCTACGCACACTAGCCAACAATCCCTCTATTATCGCTGTCTTCCATCGCTACTACCCGAATTTTAAATCCCTGCCGACCACAAAAGCTTCTTCCCCGATATCCCACAGGTCGCTATCAACCATAATCCTGTTCTCTCATTTACCGGCATCCACTTCAAATCAGCACAGTCAACCATATACATAATCCAATTTGCCGCCTTCTTCAACACATTCTATAGATTTCTACCACCGACACCCACCCACTCAGACGCCTCTATCCCCGGCGTTTCTGTCTTCCACCGACTTCATTGATCAAGCAGTTTACTGTCTCTACTACCAAGCAACCCATTCAGTTACACATAGGTTTCTATTTCAGCATCTGTCCAATTTCAATGAAGCCAACAATTTAGAATATGCAATGACCGTGAGTTCAGGAGCTGGAGACATTTGACACAGGCAGATCAGAGGCCCAATCGTTAGCAATTCAGGCAACTAGACCACAGGGAGTTGCTATCTCCTAATTCTCATTGGTTTATACTGCTGTTTTATTTTAAAAGTGCATCACTTAGATTCTTTGTGTTGCTGTTACTATCACAACTTTGACCTCAAACTTCACTTGACTGGAATCACTCATTGAATTGACTTGCCATTGTTGTCCCATTTATCTCATTGAATTGATGTGCCATTGTTACCTCTTTTAGCTATCTGATTGGAAATCTTGACAATACCATTTGATCTTAACAAGCATTGGACCCTTGCTTTATTATTTACAAGCATAAGCACTATTAACTTGCATTTTTGGAAGGGAAGAAAAGAGAGAGAGAGAGAATTTCAAATTGATGTTTTAATCGTTGGTCCTTGATGCATATTGATCTCTCTATTGCATTTCATTTAGGTAGTATTGCTTTGCATGTAGTTACATATTGGTCATCTTGTCACTTCTAGCTCTAGTACCTTAAACATGAACCCCTCACAATTCGATGCACTCACCTGACAAATAGCGGCTATTCAAACTCAAATGACCGCTACTCTTGAAAAGAGTAAGGCCCTATCTGTTAGTTCGAAAAATTTTAAACACATCCCTCATTCGATTGATGTTAATAATTTTAAGGTGTCCCATAATAGACAACATCGTCGACAAGGTAACAAAAATACTTTCGACCCGATCGTAAAGATAGGGATAGGAATAGGGATCAGATTCGTGAGCGAGAACGAAATAATTTTGAAATTCTTACTCAATGGAATGCCCTTAAACAAGGAAATCAATTAGTGACTGAGTATATCGCGCAATTTGAGGAATTTCGAATCAAACGTCATTTAATTGAGGATGAGAGCACGACTTTGAGTAGGTTTAGCGAAGGTCTGAGAGATGATCTTAAGCGCGAGCTTTTCCTTCGAGGTGTCACTACTCTTGATCACGCTTACTCTTTAGCTCGAGATTATGAGTTGATTATTAGTATTCCATATGAAAAGCGTGGTTATCGTCGCTCACCCATCTCATTAGCGTCGCCTCATCATAAATCTATCATAAAACCGTCTCCGTCTAATGTTCCTCCTACTTGGAAAAATAATTGTAAAGGTCGTGATAGTTCACAATCTCCTTTTCCATGTAGAAAGCATATTGACAATCATCCTTCGGTGTTATTGGCTCCAATTCCTCCCGTTAAGTCCCTTCTGGGACCACCCCCATCTGATGCTTCTCCAATTTTGAAAAATAAGGGTAAAATTTTTTATAATCATCATTCGGCTTCATTGGCTCCACCTCCTCTCGTTAAATCCCGTCTAGGACCTCCCCCTTCTAATGGTTCTCCAATCTTGAAAAATCAGGGTAGAATTTTTGAAACTCCAAGGTCTTCTTCTCACTTGTTGTGCGTCAACTGTAAAAACTTTGGCCACATTTCTTCCAAATGTACTAATCGAACCTTAGTCATGGAAGAACGAAAGAATGTAATAGATATGCCATTAGAAGATCTAGTCTATGAGCCTAAACTTGAAGATTTTGATGACTTGGATGATAGTGAGGACACTTCTTTAGGTGGACTCCAGACTCTTCCCGAGACTTTAGATACTATACCCCTTGTTTCTGACAACTCTCGGTCACATGTTATATGTCATACCCTTGCACAACTCAAAGAGCTTGATCATTTCACTGGCCACCCTTGGAGAATCCAATCGCCTGTGGTTAGCATTAAATCAACATTCCCCACTACTGACCAACTTCAAACTGATGGTCAAAATGAAGTCATTAACCAAAGTCCTGGCAATTTATTCAAGTCTCTAGTCCAGAAAAATCTTAGAAATTGGGACTTGATTCCCCCAACTGTTCAAATTGCGTATAACAATTCTATAAATCGGTCTCTCGGTTTGAATCCATTTGAAGATGTTCATAGTTATAAGTCTAGGTGGCCGTTAGACCTTATTTCCATGTCCCCACATGCTAGTGTGTCGATATCAGTTGAAGCATTTGTGCATCATCTTCATGACTTGCATATTAAAATCAATAAACAACTTCACGCAAGTAATGCATTATATAAACTTCAAACTGATTTGCATAAACAATATTTTCAATTTCATATTGGGGATTATGTTATATTGCAAACCGGTAGTGCTGGTCCTTTTAAAGTTTTAAAACATGTTGGTCCATACGCACATGTCATTAATTTTTCACCACATTTTGGCCACCACTCTACTTTACATATTGAAGACTTAGTTACTTACAAAGGCCTTTTTAATTTCCTTGATGATCCTTTTCTACTTCCTTATGTGGACCCCCAACCTAAAGATATTACCATTTTCACTCCAATAACACATGTCACAGCACACAAAGATGTAATTGATGCTATTTTAGATAAACAGGTTGTGTTAACCAATGAGGAAGATTTTGGGGATGAGTGGAATGAATTTTTACTATTGGGAGTTCAGTATCGGTATGTGATTACAAAGAAAGATCGTCCTCCTTGGTTGGATCATATCCTTGAGGATAAGCTACAACTATCCTTGTTATCATTTGTGGAGTCTCGGTATTTGGTCATCGAGAAAGATCGTCCTCCGTGGCATGACTTGGAGCCTCTCGCATCAGATTCAGTGCAACATTCTGCTTTATCTACTCGACGGGGTCGAGTTTTTCTCCCACCCCGGAAGCGTTGATGAGGACATCCATTTATTATTTATTTTTTATTTGGACTATTAGTTATATTTTATTGGGACTATTGTTTATGTTTTCGTTATTGGTCTTGTTTAGTGGGTTTGGCCCAAGCCCTTCTCTTTAGGGTTTGTGTTCTGCTATTTATTTCTATTTTGTTTCTCATTTGAGACAGTTGATGATGAATTAGAATTGAAAGTTGGTTTTGGCTTGCAGCCGGCCGTTTCCCCCCTTGCTTCTCCCTTTCTGTCCCCTGGTCTCCCCTTGTTTCTCTCCGGTTCCTCCCCCTTTCTTACTGCTTCCGCCTTCTTCTTCTTCTTCTTCTGGTTATACTATATTCTGCTTGTTCTAACTACTTTGCAGGAATTCATTTTCATCCTGCATCATTTTCCCTTCCTTTTTTGTCAGATTCTTTTAACTATTTCTGTCCTATCATCATTTTGTTTTGCTATCAAAATCCGGCACAGTTTTTTTTTTTTTTTTGGTGAAAATTGATTGATCCGCTGCTAAAAAGTTGTTGATATAAGTGGAGGAGTCTCCTTTGGTTTACAAGGTTAAAAGAAATAAATGGTTGTCAAATATTTTTGGGTTTGGAACTTCACTCTTTTCTCTAGTGAAGGGAGAACCTTGAGTCAACACTGTACTGCTCAACTTTTTTTCAGAAACAAATTCCCATAACAAATCACTCCTTTTATGAAAAGCTTGGGTCTTTCTCACCACATCATTGATGAGGATAAACCTGCTAAAAGATAATGGATGAAAAAGGGAAACAATGCCCCCACCCTCCTGTATGAATCATGGAGAAATACAACTGTCTACTCGTTCCATGGTTACTTGAAACCATGAAAGAGGACCTATGAAACTTCATTTTCGAATTAAAATGAGCAGTAACTCAAACTTCTTGTTTTGGAGTTTCCAAGTTGTCCTGCTAACAAGCAGCTTTGGTGTGTAGCATCATCTTACCAATGATGAGAAACCATCAAAGGCAATGCAACTACGAGTACACTTTATTAGCATTGGTCTCGTCAGTGCCCCAACGTGGAACTCTTGTTCATGAAAAGTTAACCCGGAGAACTCGGTATTAGTTATGTTAATCGACTTCTTAACCCATGCTTTCATCAAGCCATGTCAATGGAGTCCTTCACATTTTTTCTTTTCTGAAAAAAGTTGGGATTCCATGATCATCCTCTCCAACTTGAGGGGCATGTTGAGGAATATAATTCAAATGATTCAAGTGAATACGGTCACTTCACAAATCAGAAATCGAGAATAGACTCAAGGCAAAGATCATGGGATTATTACAAATTAGTTTACTCACATTTAGCTTTCCTTAGTGTGTCTGTTCACAACTACTATTACCTAATTCCTTTATTGCCTATAGTGTTTACCATTTTCGACACACAAATAACACTTTCCACCATCTCTTTTCTTAAAAAAATAAATAAATATATACAATGAACAACAGATGCACTACAAATTAGCCAGCTGATCGAATTAGAATGAAGATTCAAGAGGTAAAAAATTAAGATCAAAAGCAATAGAACGAAAAGGGCACATATACCAAAAAAAAAGAGTATTGCTGAAAACACACAACACAGAGAGAGCACAAGAATTCATAGTGAGAAGTAGAATATTTCCTTGCTAGAATAACCAACTGATATTCGATTTAGAGTAGAAAAGGCAAAACAACAGTAATAGATCATTCAGAATCGAGACTTGAGGAAGAAATTAAAAATTACCTGACTTTGCATCAGATGACACTCTGAATATTGAAGGTAGCCTACACCAGCAGTTCCCCATTATACACACCAAACAAGAAGCAGCCCAATAAAATCCAGAAAACTTGCACTTTCTCAACACAATTCACCAGCAAATTGCACTCAGAAACACAGAGAAGAAAGATGGTTAACGAAAATCAAGAGAAAGAAAGATGTGTTAAATGTGAATGTTTTGGTGCTGTGTCATTTGTTTATTGGAAGTGATGCGGGTGGAGTATTGGATGGAGTTTGGTCTGTGCGCTTTCTATTGGTGGGAGCTAGTGCGCATTTTGAATAATCAATTTCCACACTCTCTCACTCAATTCTCATACTCAGCTTTTTCAGCCTGCGCATGTAATCAACTCTCTCACGCACATTGTCAGATGGCGTGTAGCCAGTCAACTTACCTGCCCTCTTAACTTTTACAACTTTTTCCAGTGTATATAAATCCGAGTTCCATATGAAGTAAATGAAATGAGAAACGTGAGACCGTAAATTTTCGCCCATGTTCAGTTATTTCAAAAATGAATTATTTTCTTCTTATTTTCAATCGTATATTTCCTAATAAAATAATATACATATAAAGAGTGTTTGGGAGACATTTTTACATAAAAATGTATTTTTGAATAGTAAATTGATGAAAAATGTGTGGTTGAAAAATAAGAAAAAATTTTTAATTTACGTGTAATATTATTTTAATAAAGAATGTGTGGTTAAAAAGAAGAGAGAAAAAAATATATTTTGAAAAAAAATAGGTACCAAACGGGACCATAGACACAAAAAATTTCCTTATTTTTTAACCACTCTCCAAAAAATCAATGTTTTTAAAGGATCGAGTTAGAGAAATATAATGATTGACGCTGAAAATGACTGAACACACACCCTTCGAAGGTCAAACATTATTTAATTCACGTGGGGCTCGCGTACTTTATGAAGATCAATCACCACAAACATTTTTTGGCGAATTGGCATTTTCTATATCAAAAATATATTTTCCTAAAATTTGTTTTCAATGAAGCTCAAACAAGGGTTTCATCATTTTTACGGTGTTTTAAAAAGCACGTTTAAACACGAAGTTTGACTTTGTTGCACGTTACACTTTTTAGAATACTACTTTTTTATGTAAGTTAAAATTTTTAATCTAGTCTTTTAGTTGACGGACTTTTATAATGGTCATAAACTTTTAGCTTCCATTTTGCAAGAGTTATAAATTATTTATAAATTGTCAAATTTTATTTTCAATCATGCACTTATCTATCACTCAATTTTATAAATTTATAAATTATCTTGTTCATAAATTATTTCTAAATGAAGATTTCCATAGATTCTACGGAATCATAGATGACTTTTATAACTTTCATTTTTGAATACTTTTGTAAATAGTCAAATTAATTTATTTTTTTTGAAATAACGCAAATCTTTGAAAACTTGGATGGACTTCTATGAATTTTTTTTCATAAATTTCTATTTCAAAATTTTTATATTTTTTCATTAAAACAAAAGATAGTACATTTGTTAGATTGAGATTCATTACGCAATCCAGACAACATCACAACTCGGACACACAACTCCAACTTGTCTAACTAGTAACGAACAAAAGTTCATATTTGGATCCTTGTTGTTTGAGGAGAATTTGGTTTGATTTTCCCAAGTTCTTTGTATATCGTACATTTCATCAACTTTTATCGAAAATTATTAAAAATATAATTTTTATCTAAATCAAACATGGACCATGTATCATTTAACTATAATAATTGTGCAGTTAGTGTAAGAATGTACGATCTATGTTCTTACTACATGAGCAAACATTTCAGTAAAGTAAAATTAAAACACTCGAGTGATCTTTTGCAACCACACTACATCTGTCTCTTCTTATTTTCATATGGACATGCTCCTCGTTTTTGTTTTTTAAGATTGTGAGCATTTATTCATTAATTGCTTTGGTAAAACATTTATTTAAGGTTCGTCTAGTATAACGTTTGTTTTTGCCTATTGTAGAGCCGTTTTTGGAGAAAGTTACCTTAAATTTTATTTTGGAAACTAGTTTTCAAAAGAATTTTTTATTCTGAAAATACTTTTAGAAGAAGCCGCATTGGATCAATTTCTACTAAAAACCTTTGTAACTACAAAAAGTACTTCTATAAAATTAGCCAAATGAGTTTAAAAATAGTACTTGGGTCTCAAAAGCAAATTCAAACACTCGGGTATTCCTTTGCAACTCCACTACATTAGTCTCCTCTTTTTCTCGTATCATCGTGCTCTTGGTTTTTTACAATTGTGAACATTTATTCATTAATTGCTTTGATATAACATTTATTTAAGGTCCGCTCTACATGACAACGTTTGCTTACTGTAAAAGAACTTTTGAAGGAAATTACATTAATTTCTATTTGGCATGTATCTGGGCTTGATTTTCCCCATATTTTTATCAAAATTCCTAACGTTGGCCGACATAATTGTTGCCCCATTCTCTCATGCTTGGGTCCCAAATGAGAAAAAAAGGTCACATTTCCACTTAAAATCAAGCAAAAAAGCAACACCAGCCTATCTCTTGAAAACTAATTTTTAAAAGAATTTCTTATTTTAAAAATACTTTTAGAAGAAGACAAAATGAACCAACTTTCTCTAAAAATCCTTCTAACTATAAGAAACACTTTGATAAAATTAATCAAATGGGTCTATAAGCAACATTTGGATCTCAAAATCTCCTTTTGACTTTTCAAACATCATGTCAGATAAGTTATTAAAAGCCTCTTCATACAATCGAGGTACATATTGAATGAATCAAGCTTGCATAAATAGTAAATTTTTTTAGGTGATAGCTATTCATTCAATACTGCTAACTCATGAAAAATACTACTAAGGGTTATTGATTAGCATCTCTCTTTTATTCCTCATAGTTGCATCAAGAACTTGAAAAGGTGTGCATAAAGAATTGTTGAAAAAGCCTAATATTTGAACCTTGAGGACCTCATGACCAATCCTTGTTACATCCCATAATTAGTGTAACATTGTCACAGGCACCATTCACAAAACCATCCAACAACCCAAACTCCTTTGTATGTAATCGAAATTACTCTCAGTTGCAGTCACATGTTTCTGCAACCACTAACAAATCTATCAATGATAATAAGTTATTATAACCCCGTTTGATAGCCATTTTTTTCTCTCTTCTTTTCAATCACACATTCTTTATTAAAATAATATTAAACGTGAATCAAAAAATTTTCCTTATTTCTCAACCACATATTTCACATCAATTTACTATTCTAAAATGCATTTTTACATAAAAATATCTATCAAACACCCCCTATGACTATCGACTAGGGTGCATGATTGTCACAAGACATAGTTTAGCCAAGTTCAATACCATCAATTGAGCTTAGCAGGAGTAAATAGTCGAAATAGTGGACATAAATAACTAAAGAAATTCTCTGTCTTTCATTTAAGATTTCATTTCATGTACTAAGACTTTCTAGCTCAAAGATGCTCGATTCATGTTGGAGTCGAATGAGCTAATATCTTAGTCACGCGCGAACCATGATTGATTTTTTCGCATTGACTTGAACAAGAGTTCAATGTTAATTTTGAGTATAACAAGAAAAAAAAAAAAAAAAAAAAACTTATTTTTGTGTGTGGGTGTGTGTTTTTTTTTTTTTTTCAAAAAAAAAAATTTTTTTTTTTGAAAAAAACCACAAAAATTAAAAAAAAAAAAAAAGGTTAATTTTGGGTTTGTGTGTGGGTTTTTTTTTTTTTTTCAAAAAAAAAAATTTTTTTTTTTGAAAAAAACCACAAAAATTAAAAAAAAAAAAAAAGGTTAATTTTGGGTTTGTGTGTGGGTTTTTTTTTTTTTTTCAAAAAAAAAAATTTTTTTTTTTGAAAAAAACCACAAAAATTAAAAAAAAAAAAAAAGGTTAATTTTGGGTTTGTGTGTGGGTTTTTTTTTTTTTTTCAAAAAAAAAAATTTTTTTTTTTGAAAAAAACCACAAAAATTAAAAAAAAAAAAAAAGGTTAATTTTGGGTTTGTGTGTGGGTTTTTTTTTTTTTTTCAAAAAAAAAAATTTTTTTTTTTGAAAAAAAAAAAAAAAGCTTAATTGTGTGTGTGTGTGTGTGTTTTTTTTTTTTTTTTTTAAATATTGTGGATTGCTCGTACAAAAACGAAGTTATTTGCTACGCGTAGAGTTGTCGGACCAGAAAAGGTCGACACTAGCTCCAAGTCGTCCAATTACGTAAACAAACCAATACGTCAAAGCCACGTGGATGACCCAACCAATCAGGAATTAAATAGCCCCATTAGACGACAATAATCGCACAGGGGACGAATCCGTAAACAAGTAAAAATATAAGGGCTAAAAAGGAAAGAAGGTTGTGTACGGTTTCTATTTGAATCACCAATTTAGGTTAGAAAAAACCCTCTTTGAGCATTCTCTTTCTTCTCCATTTGGATAAACCCAGACCCTTAATTCTGGTGGCGGCTGCTACTCTTGCCCCCTTCGTTCTTTCTCTCTAAAACCCCATATTTCTCTCTCGAAGGAGATCTATCAATCTAGAGTACATGGCCGCCTTTGCCCCTCCAGATCGTATCCTTTTTACTTTGTTTCCTTTTTTTGGTACCTGAATGGCTAAATTTGGGTGGTCTTGGCTACATGTATATATATGTATATGCACAGTTGTATGTTGAGGGTTTGTTGTGTTTTGTTTATTGTAGATCTAAGTGTTGTGAACATCTGGAAATTGGGGTGACAATTGTATAGTCTGTTTATTCTTTTTATTCTTATTGTTTCATTATTGATTTGTTATGTTTGGTATTTCAGGGAGGTTGTCTAGTATTGAGATTTGAATTTGTGTTATTATGGCAAAAAGTAGTTTTGGGCTTATAGAGATTTAGTCCTTTTTCCCAATTATTCGGACTACCTTCAAAAAAGATAAAATCTTTCATTTTGTTCCGTCCTGTTGATTCCAACGCGTGAAATTGAGTAGCTGAGTAAGCTTTTAGTTTGGATCTATTTGGATTGAATTAAGTAGAGGCCTGCTCCTACTATTGATTGATTTCTCATGTGTTTAGTTTGTATTGATATGATTGGTATATCACAAACTACATATAGCGATTTCTATGCTAGATCACTTTTTGTATCCTTTACTCTTCTGATATAGAGGCTGCAGACCTGCTACAAAAACTGTCTTTGGACCCACAGGCGAAAACCCTGGAAATTCCCGAGCCAACCAAAAAGGTTAATATTTATATTTGCTGTTGAAATTTTATCTTTATGGATGGCTGCATAGCTTGTATTAATTAGTACATTGCACGAGTTTTACAAGTCTGTAATTCATGTAATTGATCTTTTCTTGCAGCCTTCTGTTGATTCTGGCAATGGGACCAATGGGCAGCTTCACTCACGGGAGGGGTCGTTGACTCCGATTCTACCTGATTTTATTGATCCGTCTATGTGCTATCTTCCTAATGGCTACCCTTCTACTGCATACTATTATGGCGGTAAGTTTATCCTTCGGGAATTTTACATAATGGATGTTTTATAGCCCATCTAATTAGAACTCAAACATAATAATCACTTTTATCAATTCACTTCATCAAAGCTGGTAATATTTTATTTTTTTCATAACTCAATTTGCTCATTCATTTGCAGGCTATGATGGTACTGGTAGTGAGTGGAAGGACTACGCACCATATGTAAATTCAGATGGAGTAGAAATGACACCAGTAAGTTCTCTTATGTACTCGGTGGTATGCAGATATTGATGTATTAGTGTTGCTTGTGATGGAATTTCTAATCTGTTTATACCCAATGCACTGACGAACTTTTAAACCTTTCCTCACCTGTTTTCGATTCTTAGCTATGGATTGGTCAAACTTCATTTTGTAATCTTGATTCTTATGTGCCTTTATTGAACCATATCAGGGAGTTTATGGGGACAGTGGGTCGCTAATGTATCACCATGGCTATGGCTATGCTCCTTATGGCCCATATTCTCCTGCTGCTACGCCTGTTCCAACTGTTGGACATGATGGTCAACTATATGGAGCTCAACACTACCAGTACCCTTCTCCGTACTTCCAGTCAGCAACCGGCAGCCCATATCCTACTCCTGCTGCCTCTGCCAAGGGTGACATATCAGCGTCTGCAGCTGCTGACAAAGCTCCTTTGTCAGTTGCTTCTGCTGATGCAAAATCTAATGGCATTGCAAATAGCGGGAGCATAAAGAAAAATAATGGCTCGAATGCTGCCAAACCAGCATACCAAAATTCGTCTTATAACTATAATGGCACATATGGACGGGGTGGATTTCCTGGAGCAATTCCTGCTTCTGGTTATCAGGACCCAAGATTTTTACTTGATGGTTCACGGTCACCAATTCCATGGTTAGATGGTTCCTTCATGTCAGATGGGCAGCCTAGGCCATTAACTAGCTCTTCTATGGCTTCGCCCCTACCAAACGGAAATGGTGTTCCCTCATCAAGAAATCAGAATTTCCGTCCTCATTTCATGGTATGTAATAATGTACTACTGTTTCAAGTGTCTTACAGTATTTTTTAAAATATTATTGTTGTTCCCCTTGTTCTTAACATGCAGATACTGTTGTGATAGTGTATCATATTGAATGCATTTGTATCTATTGGATTATTTTAAAATTGGTTGCAAGGCCCCAATACTTGATTAAGGGGAACACCATAGGCCTCTTTCCTTCTATCCAGATTTAGATAGAGGGAGGGTAAAGCTTTTTCTTCTCAATCACACTTAGAGAGAATGTTACAACAAAAGAAATGTGAATTAGTGCTCAATAAACTGTTTGTTTCGTCTTTTGGAATTTTATGATTGTTCAATGTCTTAAACTTAGTTATAATCTCTAGTAACATATTGGAATTTCAAATGTTTAACCTCCAGGGTTTGCACCACCCAAGATCGGTGTCTGGTATGAATGCAGCCAACGGATACATAAATAGAATATATCCCAACAAATTATATGGCCAGTATGGAAACACATACAGATCTGGGTTGGGCTATGGATCTAATGGGTATGAGTCACGTACAAATGCTCGTGGTTATATGGCTGTTGATAGCAAGTATAAACCCAGGGCAAGAGGAAATGGCTTATATGGATATGGCAATGAGAACATGGATGGTTTGAATGAATTGAACAGGGGACCGAGAACAAAAAGCTCGAAGAATCAAAAAGGTGCTATGTCAGTGGATCCGGCTGTCAATGTGCAAAACCCCTTGTTGACTGGAATGGCTGATAGCGAGAAGTCTAGTTCGGCTCCTAATCGAGAACAATACAACCAACAAGATTTCCCTGAGGCTTATGCAGAGGCAAAGTTCTTTGTTATCAAGTCGTACAGCGAGGATGATATACATAAGAGCATCAAATACAATGTATGGGCTAGTACACCAAATGGTAACAAGAAGCTGGATGCAGCTTACCAGGATGCTCAGCAAAAGTCTGGAGGCTGCCCTGTTTTCCTTTTCTTCTCAGTAAGCATCTTAAGCTGGACATGGGGTTATCTCTTGATTTAGTATTTTTACCTTATTTTTTTTTGTTCTATCCTTGTCTAGGTAAATACCAGTGGGCAGTTTGTTGGTGTCGCGGAGATGGTTGGGCCCGTCGATTTCAACAAGAATGTTGAGTACTGGCAGCAGGACAAGTGGATTGGCTGTTTCCCTGTTAAATGGCAGATTGTGAAGGATGTACCCAACAGCTTGCTGAAGCACATCATCCTAGAAAACAATGAGAACAAACCTGTTACTAATAGTAGGGATACCCAAGAGGTACACTGTTGCATAAATGGATGACTGCTCTATTGATCATTGTTATTTATATTGTTCATTTGTATTCTTGTGGTTGCAAGAAATAATAAAAACAAATCATTTTCCATATATTAAAGCTGAAGAAGTTCCCCCTTTCAGGTTAAATTGGAGCAGGGGCTTCAAATGCTCAAAATATTCAAGGATCATTCGAGCAAACAATGTGTGTTGGACGATTTTGAATTCTATGAGGATCGCCAAAGGAGAATTCAGGAGAAGAAAGCTAAGCAACAGCAGTTTCAGAAGCAGGTATTTTATTCGATATATTATTTTGCTTAGTTGGGTTAGTTTTAAGGATTGTTGACTCTATGGACTCGTTTCTTTTGCTTTTCTCATTTAGTGAAAGTGATCTTGATGTGCCTGCTTTTTTGTACAGATGCAGGTATGGGAGGGTAACCCAAATGAAGATGATAAATCCAAGTCTTCAGAAGTTGCTTCAGATGTGGGCAAGGAGACTGCAGCAGTTCAGACTAATGGGGATGACAACCTTTCCGAGAATAGTTCTCTTGCAAAATCTGATGCCCCCAAAACTGTACATCCTGATGTGGTTACAAATGGTAGCTAGATTCAGGCTTGCACAAAGCGGTCCATGATCTAATGTGGTGTGCATTTACAGAGAGTGCTCTGATCAGAACGTATGAAGGTTTAGATCCCCAATGGATTGGGCCGCGTTGTTCAGTGCCTTGCTGCATAAGAAATTATTACTCAGTGTGATAAGAGCCTGAGAAGATGTTCTCGTAGTTTGGCAAGGCTGATATCAACTTCTAGGACAGTATGGAGTAGGGAGTCCCATTTTTCCTTGTGATGGTCTTGTTTCTCTTCCTTTTAGCTTCTAACAAGTTTTTCTTGTTCCTAGATAGGGGGGTTGGTTTTAGTCTGGGTTTTATTTTCTTTTTTCTTTTTAATTTTTGTTATAGCTTTTTCTGTTTTGTCTGTTTGTTCTTTTCACTCTCCCCTTTTCTCTGGGTGTTACGTCAATTGCCTTCGTGTGGCACCATCCTATCTTGTAATCCTAGTTCTATTTTTGTGTCTGTAAAAGTAGGAAGCAAGGTGGGAAAGCATTGCAATATTAAGCTTTTTTAATAGTTATCCCGATCATGTCATTTCTCTCAACGCTCTGTGATGCAAATTGCAATTTCATGTTAATCTTGGCAAAATATATGTTGGGAAAATAAAATTTAGATCTGATGCCAATGGGCATTCTTTGCCATGGATTGGCTGCATATCATGCAAGTCATTTATACCTATCCTAGATTACAACAAAATCAAATCGCGCCTACTCCATTACTGCATAATTTGTGTACAATGCTAAAATAAAACCAATTCAGTATTCATCTCAATTAACTTTCCTTTTACTGTTCATTTATTGCAAAAGTTTGTGGGCACGTACTTCTGTAAGGATAAAGAAAATACTCTCGGCGAGCAAACCACAAACATCCAATCATCAACCCACAACTCAAGAAGTGTGCACAACTTTTTCACATCACAACAACAAAACTAACCCATTCTGTTTATGTGGTACACTCGAAGATAAAACCACCAAAACATGCATAACAAGAATGGGTGTTCAAATCTTCTCACATTATTTAAGCTTAAAGTAAGAAGTTAAAAATTACTAGGGAGTTTGTTAGCTTTTACAACTTGATCCATATCCCAGATCCAGCGTGCACTTATACACTGATTTCATAGACGGGGGATTGAACAAGACCTCATTATAATTATAATATATCTGAATTCCCACAAGAGCTGATTACTAATCCCCTGAATATTTATAAGTTATAGCCCATGCCAATAGAGGCAATGCCACATACTCTCCACGCAATCATTCAGGTATGACGTCAATCTTCTCAATAGATCTGTAACAAGAAGAAAAGGAAAAAAGTGAGAAATCCAGCTGAGGTGTAAAATCTCTTTTCAGACAGAGAATGTCATGGATTGAACCAGTTTCAGCAGATACAACTTAAGATAGACCATCATCAAACAAAATTAAAAGAAAAAGAATGCATAATTTTCAACCGAAGCAAGATGGGCACACATTGTTAATTCTGATGGCACTAAAAATGCATTCATGTGACCATACCCACAAGAAAGATGAACTAAACCCTTCATTGAATTATGATTTGTGTTTTGCTAGGGCATAAATAGATACCTTCCAAGACTCAAAGCACAATACTACCAAAGAGGTGCCAAGTGCTAACAACAATATAAATTCTGTTGACTACAGATAATCTTTTCAGGTAATAGTGAAAGCTATTTCTTCTGTCAGGCACCAAACCATTACGAGGACATATCCAAGGTTTGTCACAAGCAGAAGACTTATAAATCAAAACCTACAGCTCATAAACTGGGTTCTTATCCCCCTTTTTCCTCACTCTCCAGTCTCTAGAAACCTACTTATCAAGTAATGAACACAAGTTGCTGTAAGAATTGAAACCATGTTCAACATATAACAATCAATTTTCATACCATTGCTGGACTTTACGGAACTCAGTCAGAACAGGGTATATATTCTCAAATGCAGTATATGTCTCGTCTCGGACCTGTAAATAAAATGTCATGCATTAAAATATTTAATGGTGCAGATGAGGACAGCACAGCAAAAAACAAGACAATAGCACGACAAGGACAGCTATATGTCACACTACCTTTGCTCCTGTGAGAACAATCTTCCCGGAGACAAAAATTAGCAGCACAATCTTGGGTTGTTTCATGCGATATATTAATCCAGGGAACAGTTCTGGTTCATACTGTACTAACAAATGATGTCATCAGTACAATATCAATATTGGAAACAAGCAACTGAGCCAGAACTCCAGATTCTCCACCCAAGAAAAATCTTAACGCCTTCACTATATTTTATAATTTTCAATTCGTTCTTCAACTAATAGTGAAATATACAAATAGTTTTGTTACCTACTATTCAATATCATTGAATTCATTACTAACTTGACTTATATCATCATTTAATTCTCAAGCATTACTCTTATCATCTATGTGTTTGTGTGCATACATGTATATTTTTTCCCCCTCGGTGCACATGGTTGTATTTATTGTTTTTTATTGAGGCTTTTTGCATTTTAACTTCGAGGATTTTGATTGATTAGCATAAACTGTTTGAGGTTTTTGTAGGATTCACTATCGCTAATCGCTCAAATCTTTTTCCTGTAAAAGGAAAAAGAAATTAAATGCCATAGAAAATGGAATGCATTGCTATATAATATAAATATTTCTAGCCTTGTCTTTTGGATGCAATTTAAATATTGCTTAATTTTGACAATAAACACTAAACAAATAAACTATCACTTTTATTTACAATTCAAACTTGAATTTTTATATAAATAAATTACTCTATTCTCCAATTTAACATTTAGCTCATGTTTGATCCCCAATTTCTAAAATTCATTTACTTCAATTCTTTTTCAACCACACTTTTCATCAATTTTTATCAAAATCTACTAAGAATCAGATTTTTAGCTAAACCAAGAGGGGCTTCAGCTTTCTGCTGAGGTGACTTGATGTAGATTCAAAATAAATGAGTGTTTTTGAGTTCAATTTTCCTATCCCCCCGAGTTCTGGAAAATTTTGAGTGTCAACTTTATTAAGAAAATGAATTCAATCAATTAAATTACAGAAAAATTGAGTTTTCAACAAAAATTGGGACAACTCGAGACTATTTAATTCGGCATGTTATGTCATTTTAGACGAATTGTGTATTGGGCACATTGAATAATTCTCATCCAATTTCTCTAGAATATATATACTTCAAATAAAAAAATGTCACAATGTTGTTACAGTGTCACGTGCAACCACCTAATACGTACCAACATATTTTTACTAGCACATAATATATGCTAGTACTTAATAGGTGGTTGCACGTGATATTATAACAACATTGTGACGTCTTTTTTTTTAGATTTATTTTAGAGAAATTAGATGACATTTTTAAAAGACAACTTACTTTTTGGGCCAGATATAACATTTATGACACATTTGAATTGTCTCTATGTTTATTGTACGACATCATTTCCTTTAACGTTGTCTTGTCTCTTAATCCTTGTAAAGACTGAAGGTTAAAGTGATAAAAAAAAAAAAAAAAAAAAAAAAAAAATTTTATAATTTTATATTTCAGATACTCCAAATCAAGTTCCCTTCAATAAATAAATCTTTGTTATTTGTCAGACATGCCACAAGTAAAGTTTCCAAGTATAGAATTTGAAGAAGTGTCAGAGGCATAACAAGATAACTAAAACTCTAAATTCTGAAATCTACTAGCACATAATAATAATAATAATAAAAGAGGAAGATACATAGCAATTACTGAACAGCCAATATTAGTTCGAACAAAGTGATCCTAACCAAAACACCATATAGCACACATTATCCCGACGCTTAACTGTAAAATAAAGAGAAAAATTATAAACTAGCATTGAATAACTCACACTTGAAAAGGCACCATGAGCATATGCAAGACCTTCAAGTCTAATAGGAAATTGGACATCACATGAGCCAACTATATTTTGAATCTTGAAGTCCTACAAGATAATCGAAGGCATAACGTGAAACGGAATAATCGAGAAGTGTCACTTCATAAACACCAGTTCATTGAGAGCCAAGGCACAGGTGTATTTTTTTAGATCAACGGGTAAGAGCTATAATTACCTTAAATTTCGCTGGAAAACCAAGCTTTTGAATAATTCTAGCATACTGAAAAGAATAGAACATGAGCATATAAGAGATACTTAACAATGAAAGAAAAAATTAGTATCACGAAAAATGACATCTTCGCAAATGGTGATATGCAGCAATTTCAAATTCAAAAATTAGCAGAAAATCATTGGTCAACAAAATCCAAGGTTAAATAAACATCATTTTCAGCATCACCTAGTAAATGAACGGAATCAGACATTCTAAGAGCAATTAGAATAGACAACTTATTTCTTTCACGATATACTATACCTTCCGAGCTGCCAATTTTGACTGTTGTTCACTCTTGGCTCCTGTACAAACCTAAAGCAGCATTTAAAAAATTGTTAATGAGAAAAATTATCAAAAATGAGAAAGACCAGTCTAGTGCTACTCAATGGCAGACACAATTTGAATATGATTGAGATTAGAGGCAGATTAACAAATAAGGAACAAAAACATCAGAAAAAATTGGAATAAACAAAAGTAGGCTATAAAAGAAATCAAAAGAACATAGTGCAGGGTTCCAACCATGCAAAACATTATGGAAAAATATTTAGTTCTTACCATCTTTCCAGAAGCAAAAATTAGTGCCGTTGTTTTGGGTTCTCTAATCCTCATGATCACTGCAGCAAAACGCTGAAAGCCAAGAAAGCCCAAGCATTAGCCGTATGCAGTAATCTCTCATGTTAGTAATAACATAACAAAAATTAATCTACATCTTAAAGTAGAGATGGTGTAGAAATCTCTTATATTGTTAAAGTAGTACAATCTTTAAAAGAATCAACTATTTGATTCCTGACAATACGCTGCCACTATCAATTTTTTTTCTCATTCTTTCTTATCATCCTCCACTTGTAACGTTGCTTTCTCCTTCCCCATCTTTCCTCTTCCTCCATCCATGTAAAGGCTCAAAACAAAATAAAAGCATCCATAAAAGGTAATAGGCTATAAAAATGCTCAAGAAGACAAAAAGAAGCGAGCACACGTCTTGTCCTCACTAGTGACGCTCAACGGTGGGCTTTAAAAAGCTTTATAATAACCTACTAGAAGGCGGCATTCTAGAGGTAAGCCTCAAAAGCCTTTTTAAAAAATGGCTATCAACCTCTGGTCCACAACCTTAAGAGCATTGGATATTAATCTATCCACTTTACTCGTTATAAGAAAAAATAAAAAACAAATCAATTCATTTTTATCCTGAACTTTCCCATTTACCCATGACCCACCAATATGATGTTGATGTTGTTTATATTTTGTTAGCAAAGCCCGACAGCCAAGCAAAAGTTATCTCGAGGGGATTGTATCATGTACAAACAAAAAATCACATAACTAAATGTGACAAGCCCATGTAAAAAAATAAAAATAATAAGAAGTAAAAATGTAGTCATTGATAACACTTGATATATTGCATGAGAAGATGTAAAAAAATGATCAATTAACAAGTAAAGAAGGCGCAACATGTGAACAACATACCTTGGGGTTATATTCTGCATTACGAGCTTGCAATGCAATAGCTTTAAGATCCAACTTGCAGTCCAAATTGACAGTCGACACAATATTCCTGCATGTGCAATAACCATCATCACAGATTGACAAAATGACCTTCAAAAACCAGATCTTTACATAGACATCATTCCTGGATTTTGAGTTCCTTTTAATACAAAATGCTGCAATTCATCTAGTTGTACCAATAATTCACATCAGAGGCATTGTGAAGCTAGAAATCAAAATCATGGATCGGCGATTGTGATAAAAGCTACTCCATCCAAACTCAAAAGTGGGTCCAATATAGAGTTAACAAAGTCTTTAAAATACAAATGGGCCTTGCACCACACCAATGCCCTTCCCATATTGATAAGTAAAAACACGACAACAGGTCCTGTGAAGCTTAAGAACCCATGATTGACATTGCCCGAGTTGTTTTTTCCAGTCAGAAGAACTTGACTTGTTCAACTTAAAGACCATCTCGTGGTGGACAGTGGCAAGGGGCCATTTTTTATCATAAACTTATGTGATTTCCATTAGGACCACCTCCCTAAACAGTAGTGCCATCTACATTTTAACATTCCAGTAGCAAGTTGTTATATACATTCAGTTCATTTTAAACCAAAAAGAAAGAGAGAGAGAGCAGAAAAAACTGAATGTTCTCTAATTGCACATGCAAAACGGCAATCCCCAATTTTGAGTGTATTGTTACAATTCATACGCTTGATTCAAGAATCGTGAACAAATGCGCAAGTATTTCATGTTCATAAACATGTGTATTAGCTTGTTTCCTCCATTTAAGATCCTACAAGTTAATTAACCAACCCGCTTGACAACACATACACAAATATTTCTGGAGACTGCACATTTATATAATGCACACAACTTTAATTCAATTCGGAGAAACTGAAAAAAGTTTAGCATTTAAGCGGAATGAAACAGGGGAGGGAATAAAGGAAATCAAATGTAAATTAGAAGTCTTACTGGAGTGTTGGAACAATTCCAGATGGATGCTTGGAGGGATCCACAGGTTGTTTCCCTTCCGACCCTTGAGGATCTGCCATCAAATCACTAGTTTTCAGTAGATCCTTCTTCTCTGAACCCTCTTTACCGCCTCCTCAGAATACCTTAACAATTTTTTACAGGATAACAGATTACCCCCAATCAATACCATTCTCAGAAAGAGCCAGGAAAAAAAAATTATTAGCATTTCGCCCATCATTTCCAACTATCCCAATTTGCTCAGTTTTAAATAAAAATAAAATAAAAAGGAAATGATGTGACAAAATTCAATCTTTAATCAGAAAGCCCATTCGATTAGATTCCAAAAAATAAAAACATAATAAAGTTAAATCTACAAACTATTAAACACCTGAACAGAAAGGGAAAAGAAAATACTCGGAGTTCACTAATAAAACAAGCATAAACTTAGAGTAAACGTGATCGAAGATCTAAACCGGAAAAAAGACCCAAAAAAGAAAATTTTCAACAAAGAAAGTAAAAATCGGACCTTTTGGATGAGAAATTGATAGAGGATCGTCTGTGTGTTGGTTAATTGAATAAGAAATTAGTAGCGGAGGAATTAGAGCGGTAAGAATTTGAAAGAGGAAGCTTTTATATGTATAAAAGGATTTATAGGGAGAGATGGGATAGGAAGAGATGTGTGAAGGGGAAAGAGGAAATGTGAGAGATCTGGAAATGGGGATATCAAGGGCTGATATCGGAATGTGGTTTACCCGATTAGACCTCCACCTATGGCATTATAGTCAACGCTTTGAGGAGGGTATCTTCGTCATACAAAATTTTCCGGTGATTGGTGAGGTCCAATGCTTAGACCAATAATGCTTCGACGCGTGGCCCAATTATATTTTTTGACATCTTTTAAAAAACTCCAAAGGTCCCCCAACTTTAAGAGAAACATTATTTTAGTCATTAAAGTTTTTTTATTTCATTCTGATCATTAATGTTTCAATTTCGCTTAACCTTGATCAATCTATGACAATTCCATGAATTATGTATATATTTTCTTATGTGGACAATATAAATGTTAGCAATAATCACATCTTTCAACTTGTAAAAGTCTCGATTACATAGCATTTGAACCCTTTTTGACAATCAAACAAAATTTAAACTTCAATAAATAATTAAAATGAATTTGGCACAAATTTGTGTGACTCCAAGGTGTGATTAATTTTTATTTTGACGTCATTAGCCATTTGGTCGTGACCTACCAAACTTGGTATTATGGGTTTGATCATAGGACACCACATTGGTAACATAAACTTGTGGTACACAAATGGGTTATCCCATATAGCGTGAGCATCATGTTATCACGGTGGCATCCTCGGGAATTGGAAATCTTGACCTTCATTATTAGAGCCTTAAGATCAAATAACCCTCGATAAATTAGATTTTAATTTATCTGTGTAGATCAATTTAATTATTATTTAAGTGAAAGTAAAAAAAATTTTATTTAGTAAAATATTTCACTTCTTTGGATGGTCTGAAATTTTTTAGACAGAAGTTGATTGAAAACATCTAACAAAGAATTAGGTTTTTACATTCCCGTAACTTGATGTAGCTGTTGTAATGCCAATTGAATACGTGATAATGTCTTTGACAATTATATTATCACGTGTGTTTGACACACGTATATTTTATTTTGGTACCACATTTCATTGAAATGTCGAACTCTTTCACCCTTTTATGGTTATGCTGACTTTAAAATACTCGAGTTCTTGATCTAACACTAATCTATTAACATATCAAGTTCTTCAATCCACCACTTTGTATCTAATTTTCTTGCCTTACCATGGTCACTGACCTCTTTAACTTGAACAGTAGCAGCCACTGGCCAGAGCCGAATGTCTCCTACACCACAAATACTTAAACAATTTTGATAGTGATTTTCTGAAAAATGCATGATTAAAAAATAGGAAAATAAAAGAATTTTTTTAACCCTAATTTCGAATCTCACCTTTCAACTGCTTATTTATTTCAAAAGTGATTTTTCAAATCTAACATTTTATCATTTTTAAGCAACGTTTGAATTTCAAGATCGAACCAAGATTTTAACACAAACCAATATCCAATAAATATCCCTATATTTGGAATTCGAATAACTGTTTAAAACAACCTCAGAGATCTTGGTGGGAATGAATCATCGGATAGGATTAATCCCATCAAGAGCAGCAAAATTTTCTTACATCATCGGCCGTTAAAACCAATTTTTCATGTATAAAATATTAGATAAATAAAATATGTTTGCAGAAAGGGTAAATAGTACAAAACGTTCATACCTTTCATTTTTTTACATTTTCATCCATATTTTCACATTCGTCCATTTTTGACGGTTTACCCTCCTTTCAAATGAAAAAAAAAAAAAAAAAAAAAAAAAAAAAAAAAAAAAAAATTTTTTTTTTTTTTCCCCCCCTTTAAAAAAAAAAAAAAAAAAAAAAAAAAATTTTTTTTTTTTTTCCCCCCCTTTAAAAAAAAAAAAAAAAAAAAAAAAAAATTTTTTTTTTTTTTCCCCCCCTTTAAAAAAAAAAAAAAAAAAAAAAAAAAATTTTTTTTTTTTTTCCCCCCCTTTAAAAAAAAAAAAAAAAAAAAAAAAAAATTTTTTTTTTTTTTCCCCCCCTTTAAAAAAAAAAAAAAAAAAAAAAAAAAATTTTTTTTTTTTTTCCCCCCCTTTAAAAAAAAAAAAAAAAAAAAAAAAAAAGTAAACATAGAGAACTAATTGCAACTATAACCCCATATTTTAAAAAAATTACAAATCACTCACAAAATATACAAAATCTATACCATCATTTTATCCCGGAGATTCACAGTCCTCGCATCCAGGTTCTTTCCATATCAATCGGGGATCTTCCCAAAGATCCACCAACTATTTGTATTGCGGAACCGAAACGTTCATAATTCTTCGACAAATAGCTGGCACGCCTTGATAAGAAAAAATTAAAATTCATGGACAAAAACAATGTAGTTTTTCCTACCAAGGCAAAAACCAAGGCAAAACAATGGCACAAACTGAAAAAAAAAGCATAATCCTTCCGACCAGAAGAACAGTTTAGGAAAGTGTAGTTTCTTGTATAAGAAGCTTGGAAAGGAGAACCCGAGAGACTGAAATTAGTGGTGGCAATGGACCGAGCCGAGGTAGCTCAGCCCGCGAACTCTTCGATTTCCAATTTTTTTTTTTAATTTAAATAGATAAAAACAAAATACAGTTATACAAACACTCTTCCTTTATCCGAGTTTGAAATCGACTACTTAAATTTTGAGTAAGCAGAGTTAAAAATTGTACACTAACGACTTGTAAGTTGTAACGTATACAATTTTTTGAAGAAAAATTAAAAATAGTATTATAAATAACAAATTCTGATTAATATGATTAAAATTGCATTAAATATCACTTATGATTTACCTAACGACATATAATTTCAACAAATTGAAATTTATTTTGTAGTTGAAAATATTTTTCAGTTTCCAATTTATCTTATACGATATAGATTCAATTTCTCATATGCCACATGGATTCATGGCATATGATAAATTGAAACAATTAGGAAATTGTAATTGTGAGAAGCAAAAGAAGTAAAGAACCAATAATTTGAAGATGAAAATGGGTGAGCATTGTGAGGGTATTTATATGTAAATGTTTTGAGGGAAAAAAAAATTGTGGCCGATATTTATAGGCAAATGTTTTGAGGAAAAAATTGTGGCCGAAATCCGGGCACTGTAGCACACGTGGCTTGTGTACTGCGAGCCTAGGCTTGTGGGCTCGCGGACGAGCAACTCGCCCATTTGGAGAGTCAAGCAGGCTCGTGCTCACGATTTGATGAGCCCGAGTCGTCCATGAGCTCGATTTTGACGAGCTGAGCGTCCACTAGGTCTGTTTGACATTCCTAGCTAAAATTTAATAGTCTTCTAAGAAGACAGAGATCAAGATCCTTCATGGATATGGCTTGTTTGATGTAATCTATGTAGTCCGGTACAAATTCGCTCGATTGTGAGAGGATTAAGACTGTTTGCTTTTGATTGTTGCAGGATATGTTGAAACCTAGATAGCTGTAGTGCTCCCACTGCTGAAGTTTCGATTGGAACGAAAATCGAATTGGCGACCCCAAACTGTAGCACTTTTCAGGCTTACAGCTATTAGAAGATATTATTGGTTGTGCAAAGATAAAATGTTGATATAGTTATAGTATATTTTATGAGTGATCTATAATTTTTTGAAAATATAAGCTTATAGTTGCAATTAATTCTCTATGTTTTCTTTTCTTTTCTTTTATTTGAAAGGAGGGTAAAAATCATAAAAAGGGATGAAAAAACTTTTTGAAAATGAAATGTGAAAATATGGGAGAAAATCTCATAAAATGAAAGATACGAACGTTTTGCACAATGACATTGAAAGTTAAGAACGTTTTGTACTATTTACTCTTAAGGAAATCAATAGATAAAAACAAGTTTCAAAAATTGAAAAGAAGTTAATTTGGAGAAATTGGGGGTATTGAATAACGATGATGAAGAGTCACAAGTAGCTGGTTATTGAAATCATGGATTTAATCAGTGGGAATCCGTCTATTTTCTTCACCATCATCAATGCCCAAATTAACAAACAGATAATGAAATAACATAAATCTACAGAATATATAAAATAAAAAGGCATACAAGTAATTAAAAGCAACTGCAAGTGAATGCTTCTGATTCATAAATATTAATTCAAAAAATGAATCAAAAGTAGGCAAGTTATTAAAAGGAGTTTATATTATGTAAAAGATTGAGAAGGCTCTCGAAGGAGAGACGGCGCAAGAATTGTGTACGGCCAGGTCTATCAATAGAGGGAAATTCTGATTTGATGAATTTTAGGGTTTTGTAATCATTGACTGCTGGGCTGGGCCTCATAACGAAGAAGGGAAATTTACGCATATAAGCCCATAATAGAAAATAATTCTAGATATACTTTTTATAATCTCAAAATTACTATATAGTCCACAAAAATAGATAAAAATACTTCAATTTCACAATTTCGTTATTTTAGGTTTTAATTATTAGACTCGGCTGATTATCAACACGTCTAAAGGAACCATGTCGACAGGTCATTGATCCAATCGATTGGAAATTATGAATTGGGACGAACAGTAAAAATATATTTTTTTAAAAGGCATAAATATAACTATAAGTTGGAAACTTAAACTAGATTCTAACTAAAAATTTATTTATAAATTCTTGATTTTTTTCTTTTGTAAAAAAATAAATATAAGATCTATATAAGTTTTTCATATATTGCTAATATTTTTCTAGTTTGTATTATGTTAGTAAGCCCGTGTTTGATGGCCATTATTTCGGAAAAGTAATGTTTTGAATAATGAATTTTTGAAAAATGTATAATTAAAAAAGTAGGAATAAGTTTTAGATTTACATCCAGAATTATTTAGTATGTGAATGCGTGATCGAAAACGAGTATGTAAAAAAAAAGAGTTTAAAAAAAAAAAAAAAGCAATCAAACAAGGGCAAAGTCTTTTATATCTATTTTTTATTAATGCTTTTGATTGCGAGCATGAAATTTGTATGGAAAGAAAATAAATTCTAGATAGTTGAATTACTTAGAACTTATTTCTATGGAAATTATTAATTAAACGTGTTTGATTGATTTAATTTTCAACTTAAAAATTATTATATTTGTCATTTTTTATTGCTTAGTAAATGACAGAGAAATGAGATAGATGAGAGAGAAAGAGTGAATGAAATACTTAGAAAATAAAAAATCAATTCTTTCTAAATAAAATATTTTCCGTGTTTTTGAGAAAAATATGGTCACATGACCAAAAAGTTGGAAAACATTTTTCATAGAAAAAATTGTTAATCAAACATCCAAAAAGTAAGAATTTGGGTGGAAAAATAATGCCAACCAAACAACACTAAATATTTTTGCGAATTTTATGTTCGGTATAATCATTTCTAAATTTGGTTAATGAAAAAATACTTACCTTCACATCTAATATCATATCAATTTTATTATGATCTACACCATGTGACACAATTTGTTACAAGTTATAATTGTACAAGACATTTTGAATGTTGATCGGTTGCGAGTTATTACTTAATATATATCACGTAAATTGGAACTTTTTATGATTGGTTTATTACAAATAGAATGAAAATGTTAAGTTTGTTACATTGTTCCATAAGTTATATAATGTGGAAATTACACCCATCCATTTGTATAAAGATCCAACTTGAAAAATGAGATGCAAAGTTTGTTTATTCAAAAATCAGAAAATATTTCAATATCGATAATAATATTATAAAATTAAATTAATTTATATACCGACCTCCATCCACCCCACTCCACCTCACTATCCTTGACCCTAAATTTCTCAATCTCTCTCTCTCTCTCTCTCTCTCACTCAATTTTCTCTACCTCTCACTATCCATCTCTTTCACTCAATTCTCTCTACCTCTCAGTCTCTCTCTCCTTAATCAGCATCGGCTCTATCACCCTCTCCTTCACCAGCACTGGCACCGTATCTCTCTTTGTCACCCTCACGACATCAGTTTGGCGATGAAATGATGGGGGGTGTGGTGGGATATGGTGGTGATCTGCAATAGTATCGACCTGGCTGTGAATGATGGGGTTTGGCCGGATCTGGTGGCGCCGCAATGGTAAGATTGGGTTGGGGTGGCAATGGTGATGGTGATGGCGATGGCGTGCTACTGTAATGCTGTGGGTATGGCAATGGTGCTGTGGTTGGGTGAGTTCTATGATGCTGTGGATGTGGCGGTTGAAATTCTATGATGTCGTGGTTGTGACGGTGGTGCGATGAGTTCTATGATGTTGTGGGTGTGGCAGTGGCGATGGTGCTATTGTGATGTTGTGGATGTGGCGGTGGTGGTTCTGACACACTACAAAATTGGTGGCATTGCGGCTAATGAAATGGTGAGGTGGTGATCACAAGTGATTTGATTGACTGTGACCGTTAAATTGGTTAATCCGTGACCAATAAAAAAGATAATTTGTGACCAAAAAATAATGTGATCTAAAATTTTGTTAATTTGTGACCAATAATTTGATAATTTTTTACTGTGTAATAAATTGTGACTTATAAAATCTGTGATTTGTGGCTGATAAATAAATTGTGATTTAATTTTTTTTTTAATTTGTGACCAATGAACAAATTGTGACCTATGAAATTTTTGATATGTGACCGTTAAATAATTTGTGAGATATAAAATTTTTTATTCGTGACCAAAAAATAATAAATGATTAACTAAATCGTTATTTGTGACCAAATTGTATAAATGTATGACCTTAATATATTAAATTAATAAAATATACGATTAATTAATTAAATCATAACTAAATTTTAATAAAAATCTGATTTTTGAAATTTGAAATATTTGTTCTTAATTTTGAAATGTGTGATACCTAACCTTTTAGTTATGAATTTCTCCTCATTGAACTTATATTAGTTGTTGCCTTTTGGGTCACACATCATGTGCAACATCCACGACTATTTAAATCTACGGGGTACTTTTCAAATTGGATGAGTCAAAGAACAAGTTTTGCACTTTGCCCAATTTTTTTTCATTCACCGCATTGGCCTCTTGTGTTGAAAAAGATAATTGTGCCCTTATTATGTTCCACAATTAGAAAAACATGTTAAATCTTTGAAAGACAATAATACCCTTAAAAGTTTAAATAGATTCAATCAGTTTCCCAAGTAAATTTCAAAATCAATTTTCCTTATCAATTTCTTCAATACAGTTAAAAATAAATTTCTTCTTCCATATACTAGAACACTGAAATCTCACAAAATTATCAAAGGTTCAACAAAAAAAATTACTCACAGTCGGCACTCGAAATTGGTAAGTGTATTACGTATTTTTAATTTCGTTTTAGTTAAAATAGTATACTGTTTGAATATTTAAATCTTATTTCGACAAAGGCAGATGAATTATTACAGTATTAAACACAGATGTATTTTTTTTTTAGCAAAAACGAATAAAAAAATTCATCTGTATGCATATTATTTCAGTAAAAATTCATAATATTTCGTTGGAACAAAATTCGAGCTGGCCCGAACTTACGGGCATCCTCCCTTTTTTTTGTTATTTAAATATTTTTTAATGTTTAAAATTTTATAATTTATTCGTTCATATTTAATATATATTGTTATTGTAAATATTAATGAATATTTAATACTAATTGAAATAAATATTTATGAAATAATTAAAATAATCAATGAATTATTATAAGTATAAAATTAAATTAAATATGAAATGAACAATTCAAAAAATTATGTATTATTTCCTTATGTTTAATCTATTATCTAATATTTTTAATTTGTGGCAGATATGACATCAACATGTGTCCCAATTTGTTAATTTGGTGAATTTTAAAAGGATAAAAATGCTCAGTGAAAATGAAAATGAGCGAGTGAAGGAGATGTGGTTAAAGCAATTTTTATAACAAGGAGTACATCGTTTATAGAAATGTACTATGATATACAAAACATGCTTAACGTCGATCCCTCTTAGTACGATATGTAATTGAGATTTTTGTTTCAAAAGCATTCAACCATTCCGATTCCACCTATGAAAGTTACTTATGAAGTGGAGATGAAGCATCTAATTAAATTAAACCAAGGTCGAAAGTCGACTCCTATTTGCGTAACTTTATTGAGGAAGAATGTCCTCGAAGGTGAACACGAAGTTTCCGATGAAGAGAATCATAATGTAAATGATGTTTGTGATACAATTCAGATTGTTCATGAAGATGATGTGGTTATTCCCGAAACCACTGCTACTCACCATGACACACTATTATGTACAGAATTCCATCGACAATTGAAGACAACGAGAATGAAAACACATTTACAAACGAGGATTTGATTGCTTTATGCCGTAGGAGACATAAGTCGGGTGGGAGCTCACAGGCTGGACCAAGTACACGATCCTCTAACTATTCACGTGTGATTCCCGATGATGAAGATGTGTATGTCGAGCAATTGTTCGAATCAAAGAAAGAATTGCGAGAAGCTGTGCACCAGATTGCTTTAAAACATAACTTCGAGTTTAAAGTGAAGAAATCAAACAAGTCAACGTATACAATTATCTGTGTTGATGACAGTTGTCATTGGCGTTTGCGAGCGACGAAAATGGACACGAATGAGTTCTTTGTAGTTCTTAAGTATGCACGGGAACATACTTGCGAAGTGGGTATTCGCCGAAATGATCATAGGCAGGCCTGATCATGATTCATTGGTCGAGAAATAGTGCACAAGTTCCAGGACCCACAAACGATCTACAGATCTTCGGATATCATTAATGACGTTCGGCGAGAGTACGGGGTGGTCATGAGCTATCAGAAGGCTTGGAAGGCCGAAGAATGTGCATTGGAGGACTTGATGGGTTCGACCGAGAAGAGTTATGCTAAATTTGCCAGGTATTTTATTGTTTAAGTGTTTATTTCTTTGTTATTATAATTGTTAATTATTTAATTTCAATTGTTTATGTAATTATGTAATTCAATTGTTTATTTAATATGTAATTAATTATTTAATTGAATTGTTTATTTTTCCGTTCATTTCATATTGAATAGATTATCTAAATTATGATTATTTCGTATTTACATTGGCCAGGTATTGCTATAACATGGGAAGAAGTAATACTGGATCGGCATTTTTTATTGAGAAGGATGACGATAATCGCTTTAAGTATTTCTTTATGACCCTTGGACAATGCGTTTGAGGATTTCGAAACACAATGCGACCCCTAATCCTAGTCGACGACACAACCCTTAAGGCGAGATAAGGGGGCAAGTTGATTATTGCAACATGTTAAGATGCCAACATCCAAATTTACTCTCTTGCGTTCGGCATAGTCGACGGGGAAAATGATCTAGCAATGAGTTGGTTTTTCACGAAGTTGAGAGAAGTAATTGGGGATGTCGAAAACCTTGCATTCGTAACCGATCGAGGGCAGTCAATAATAAATGGTATCACCGAAGTCTTCCCCGAGGCACATCATAGTTATTGTATGTATCATATACAGGGAAATCTGAAGACCAAGTATCGAGGCAAGGGCATTGTTGCGTTGTTTAGTAGAGCTGCAGAGGCTTACAGTTTTGAAGAGTTTGAAAAGTTTATAGTCGAAATAGACAGTAAACCGCATGCTGCATGGGAGTATCTAACAGAGAAGGGGATCGAACATTGGGCACGATCACATTTCTCAGGACGTCGATACAACATGATGACGTCGAACATTGCAGAGTCGCTTAACGCTTTATTCAAGACAGATCGAAAGTTACCAATTCTCTCAATGATTGAGAACATTCATGACAAGTTACAACAGTTGTTTCATGATCGATGTGAGGAGTCACAGAGTTGTACAAGTGTGCTAACCCCGGTTCAGGAAGATAAACTCTTCAAAACTCTAGATGTGGCGAGATATGTATATGTAGAACCACTTGATCAATTTCACTTCTCCGTGAGATGTGCACGTAATTTCAGATACATCGTGAACTTGAGTTAAAAATACATGCATGTGTAGACAGTTTCAGTTAGAGAATTTTTCATGTACACATGCAGTGACAATGGCTATGCATAGAGGATTTCCACCACACACCTTATGCAGTGCGTATTATATGATTGATTATTGGAGAGCAGCGTATGCGGAGACAATATTTCCTGTACCAAACGAAGTCGAGTGGGAAGTTCCCGACCACATTCTCCCACTGAATAACTTGTTGCCACCAGCAGTCGGACCACGTAATTCTGGACGTACACGTACGTCTAGAATACCATCTACTGGAGAGTTTCCCCAACCTCGTAAGTGCGGTGCAACATGGCATACTAGAAGATATTGTACAAGTCAGATTCCTCTGCATGACAATGTAACAGATGTATAATTTTACATTTGTTAATAATTATTGACAATGTAATTATTTATAACATTGACGTTAATTAATTATGCATATTATTTATGTTAATTATTAGATTTAGTTTTTTATTTAAATATTTTATTCATTAGTTTCATTTGTTACCCACATTATTTATACACATTATTTATGTTCATTAATTGAAATCGAAGTATTCAAAAAAAATTTTAGACACACTGCGTTCTCTCCACAATACACACAAATATTATAAATAAATACATAAACTGTAAAATAAATAATTAAATATTATATAAATAATCAACATTTTACAATTCTTTCGTAATTAAAAATGAATGAATAAAATGTACAATGTTCAAATAAATGTAAAAACATGTAAAATTATTTATGGATCCTCATTAAATTGAAACAAATCACATGCTAATTTATTTCTTCAATTTTGTATCCATGCCTGATTGATTGCATCAACCTTATGTGCTACACTCAAAAATTCTATGTACTTGATGATGAACATGCCGCAATCACTCCTACAATTAAACAAGATTGTATTAGTACATCATCGTCTAGTTAGAACATAAATTGTAAATTAAAAAAATAAAATCACAAACACTTACGATATTTGTTGCCTCACCGTTGTCATGTACCATACGGTGGCTAGTCTCTCCTGCACAGAGATGTTCACTCGTCTAGCCATCATGGGAACGATCACAGACACCGACTCCAAATTTCGTTCGAGCTGACCTTGTGTCAGGCATGAATGATCGGAGTCGTACACATACATAATGGAGTCGACGAATATGACCTCCACTGTAATGTAGTGATGATTCACGCACACTGACATGTACAGATGCGTACAGGCCTCCCATGACTTTCCTCCAACATTCGGCCACATCACTACGACCCACTCCATCATATATGTCCACAGCGTATACTCGTTACCCATAGCTTGGAGCGACTGGTACTCAATGTCAACGACACGGACGAACTCTGTGTTCAATATGAATCGGTCATGAATGTTGAACGATTTTGGATGTCTTTCAACTTGATCTCGTAGCAAATTCATGATCAAATCGATGTGCTGCATCAAGAAATACCAATAAAAAAAGGAGTTATTCCATGAATTTGATTCAAAAATCAAAATTGAACATACATAATAAATAACAATATTTTAATTTCGCTTACATCGTCGGCGAGTTAAGTTCCCAAAGTGGTGATGTCGTGGAACCACTTGTAAGCATTTGACATCGTCTTCTGAGCAATTATGCGGCTGGCCCTAAAAAAATAAGAACAAAAATTTTAGTTATAAGAAGTATACATGTGTCAGCGTCTGCGTACTGTACTAATTCTATAAAACACAAAACTTACCCGGGCCTAATTGCTCTCCACTCCATCTCGAAGGCTTTTCACTTCACATGGTCCACATCCTTTAATAAATTGGGGTACGTCCCATCGACGAACCTCCTCCTCTTCGCTTCCGCGGTAAAAGGAAAAACGACGTACTGTGATGGCACCCTCGGCCTCTTGCCAACCACTAGTTTCGGTACCTCAACAGCACGTGTCCTCTCCTCCTCCGTCTCGGGGATCTCCATCTCCCCGGCCATCAAGACCACCCCCTCGCCCGCTATCGGGACCACCCCCTCTGACACAAAGACTACGTCCGGCGAGTCTGGCGTCCTCTCGGGTACTACCTCCATCTCCGGTACCCCCGGCATCCCCGAGTATTCCCTGCAGGGGCACCCCTACCTTCTCGGGTATCCCCTCTACCTCGGATGACGTCCTCTCGGGTACCACTTCCACCTTCTGTACCCTCTCCTCCTCTGGTACCCCCGACATCCCCGGGTATCCCCATCCCCTGCAGGGACACCCCCACCTCCTGGGGTATCCCCTCTACCTCAGGTGATGTCCTATCGGGTACCACCTCCACCTCCGGTACCCTTTCCTCATTCGGTACCCCTCGGTATCCTCGAGTATCCCCTGCAGGGGCACCCCCACCTCCTCAGGTATCCCTTCTACATCGGATGACGTCCTCTCGGGTACCACCCCCATCTCCGGTACCCCTTCGGCATTCCCGGGTACCCTCTCTTCCTCCGGTATCCCCTCCGCCTCCTCCGTCCCCATCGTGTCATTTAAAAATGAATCGAATGCAGCAACTGATGGCCACGATGGGTCAACATACTCCATCTGACTCCCTCCCGCCTGATAACCACCGACCCCTCCGTCATGATAGTCGCTAGCCCCTCTGTCACCCCCTCCATCCCTCCGTCTCGATACTGACCTGTCCCTTCGCCATCTCCTCCATCCCCATAGTTGCCCATCCCATGCAGGCCTGCTATGTCGCCACGTATCACTGTAACCTCAGCATGAAAGTCTCCTAACCCAGCTCGTAAAATCGGGACATCATAGCGTAAATCTGCCAAATCTCCAAACCCGGCTCGTAGCGTCGCGACATCATCTCGTAACTCTGCCATGTCTCCTCTCATCTCTGTCAGGAGTTCAAACAAATCAATCGTAGTAGCACGGTGACTTGGTGCAGGAGGTGATACTAGACGGCCCTCCTGAAAAAATAACTGTTACAAATGAACTTAACGAAAAAATTGAAACGACAATCGATAAATTATTTTTAAGTAACGTACTCTATTTCGATCGACACTGGACTCAGGCATCTAAGCCTCTCGCATAGTCGGACGTGATCTTCTCGGCCGAGGTGACATCCTTGCCAGACGTGATCTCCTCGATGGAGGTAATACTGAACGACTTTCCTGAAAAATAAATATTACAAGTGAAGCACTTAAATACAAGATCAAAGCGATATTCAACATATCATGCATAGTAACATACCCTGTCTTGATCCACTCTGGACTCAGGCATCTCACCGTCATGCGCAGTCGGAACAGACAATTCGCAAATATAAAGCTAACTCTCCTCCTCGATCGACGTTGCCAACACAGTGAGAACTTCAAGCTGACATTTTGACATTTCACAGTTAATGACTATGTATTGAGATTGTAAAAGAACATACAACATAAATCGCAAATGTATAATACGTACCTTAGGATCATCGAGGACAGTCGATAACTGTCTGGCAAGCGGCTTGTCTTGTGCTCGCCAGTGATGCATCCGAGGGCAGCGTGTCTCCCCTCTCCTCGCATACCAACTCGTCGAGATGTGAACAGTCTCGTACACCCATATCTGTAGTAATTACAATTATGATGTATAGAATTCAAGGGAAAAAGCATAGGTAATTCATTAACTTAAACATATACCTGTAGCGCCAACGGCAATCCATATACATCGTACTTCCGCTCGGGCTTATCCCCTTTAGGCATCGAAAATCCCCTCCTGAACACGCGTAATGTATCTTGAAAACATCTTCGGCCTCATGGGTAGTTGTTGAAGGCATCAATGTCATCAACAACCTCCAAATGAAAAATGTCAATCGATGTCTTATTGTGATGACACAGGAGTACGCTCTTGATGATAAGCACCAAGCCCAGCTTCAGCCCATCAGACGTCTGATCAGATCTTCTTAATGCATCTCCCGACTGCGCTAGAGTAACTGTCATCTATCCATGAAAATATTCATTCAGCAGTCTCCTATTCCTCGGAACACGGGCCCTCGCCTCTTTTTCGTCCATACATCGCAGTCCAGTGACGAGTGCAAACTCAAATATGGAGAACGTTGCTACCTTGTCCCCAAGATCAAAATGGAGGGCATCTTCGTCAACTGGCTTCAGCAACCGACAAAGCAGGGCATCGAGCAGCTGCTCATACCACTGTACATCACGCAACGAATACAATAGCCATAAGCATGATCGACGTAACATGTCCACGTGCTCGTCATTCAGCAAATCTAATACCAAAGTGAAACTGGTAAAGTTATAATTCGACGTAACTTTTTCAGGGATCTGTCTAACAGCGTCGTCCAGATGATATTTCATCCTGCAAAATTTCAAAATATTAGAACCATGTGCAAATAATGTTCGATAAACTAAAATTTTTGTTGATACGTAATTGATAAACAAAAATATTATAAAAAGAAACTAACACACCGCTACTATATGCAATAACCAACCGATAACGGAATAAATGAAATGGACGTAAATTACTATTTTTCGTATACTTAATTTGCTAATTTGATTGATATTTTAATTTCCTAATTTAATTGCTTAGTTTTATTATTGTACAAATGTTTAAATATTTATTTAAATTCTTTATGTATATTACTTATTGAATATTTAATTATTTCTTTTAATTATTTTACTAACACTTATTTTCGTTTATTTTAATATTTAATTGCTTATTTTAATTATTTTACTAACGTTTAGTTTAATTTTTTATTTTCAATTAATGTTTAAATACTTATTTTATTCTTTATGCATATTGCTTATTTGATATTTAAAAATTTATTTTAATTGCTTTGCAAAAAATGAATTTGATTGATATTTTAATTTCCAAATTTAATTGCTTACTTTAATTATTTTACAAATGTTTAAATATTTATTTAAATTCCTTATGTATATTACTTATTTAATATTTAATTATTTTACTATTACTTAACATAAAATAATTAACTAAACTAAATTAGCAAATAATAAATATTTAGATAAATAATAAAACATTTATATTTAGCATTTCAAAGAAATAATTTTAAATACATAATATACAAATAAATTAAACAATTCAAATAAATGATTAAATATTAGACAACACAATATAAGCAATTAAATGAAATAATTAACTTCAATAATTAAAGGAAATAAATAATACGTAATTAAAAAAAAATATTTATTTGACGTCCCAGCTAACGGGCGGTCGGTCAACTGGGCACCCAGTTGACTGACGGACTGGCATCCAGACGGCCCAGTTGACTGGGTCGTCTGGGCGAGTCCGGGGCGGCTAGGTGCGCCCAGCAGCCCAGCGACCGGGGGATCGTCAAAAAACTCCATTTTCGACGATCTCCACTCCATTCCCACCCCCGAATCTTACCCAAAAATCACATTTAAATCTTATACACAAGGATTTCTCAACACATGTATATAAAATCATGCTTTTTTTTTCGAAAAATTAACATAAAAACATGCTTTTTCTTGGTATCAAAAGCCTACCTTTTTCAGAGAGAAATGACCAATTGGGTCTCCTGTTTTTTCTTTTCTGTCGGTGCTTGGGTCGACGTTACTACAATAAATTTCTTCTTTCATTACTGTCCTCTCTCTCTTCTTGAAATGGTAAGGGTAAATTTTAGTTTTTCTTGGTTTTCAAGATTTTAAACATTTTGGTCTTTTTTTTTAAGTGGTCAAAGGCCTATTTGGAAAATTGTCCGAATTAACCGGCCACTGGCCACTATTTCCTCTTAAATCTACCTACAAAGTTGAGGTGGACTCCATGTACTCCTCACAATAAAATCACCACACTCAAATATCTTATAGAAATAACTAGCACTAGCAGAAATGTATCCCATTTATCCATAAATTTACATACTATGTATAGTCTCCCTTGTTTCTCACTTAATTGCAATAAGGGCTTCGAGTCTCCATCACCTTTTTTGCAAGTACAAATTATCAATGCCGAGCAATGTTGGTGGAGCTCGACCACCATCCTTGGGCTCGAAATTGATCATGGACACTTTACTCTTTCGTTAGACAAACACGTATACGTATGTACAATATCATCATTTTTTTTAAAGACTAATCGATGCCACATGCGTTGCATGATTATTGTATTTAATGTGTCTTTATTAGCGTGATGTAGAGATTTTAGTTTTCTTGGCATAATCCTAACATGCTTTTGAGGTTTGAATTAAATTTTTTGGCATGAATCTTCTCTCGCAGTTTGTAAAAATTAGATTTAAAATTGTGGGAATATAAGTAAAAGATAGTTTATAATTTTGCTATAGTAAAGATGGAATCTTAAGGTTATTTAGAAAGCAAATGATATGAAGAGATTAGACTTATAATTTCAATTTCGACAGACACCAAATGAAGGTATATATTTGGAAGTGTATGGAGATGGTTTCTTGGAAGTGGAAGAGAGAGACAGTGGACATGGTCCATAATATAAAAATGGTCAAAGAAGACAATAATTTGGACAACAAAATATTGCAGAGTACAGCAAAAGAAAAAGAAAAAGCAAAAGATCTTCCAGGCAAAAGATAAATGCCAAAAAAGAAAGAATCTTACTGTAATAAAGCCAAATGCAATTAATGTTAGTAACTATTTCACCAACCTACTTCATTTCTTCACCTCAAATTCATAACTCATTCATTTTTCATCTGCATCTTCAATTCATTCATCTCAAACGAATCTCAAACAAATTACAGTCTATTTCAAACGAATTAAGCAACAAATTCTAAGGTAAGTTTATTTTTATAAATAATGTTTATATGAATAACTTACTATTTTTAATCTGTTGGTATTTGTGAAAGAAAGGTGAAGTTTGTGGTGAAAATGAAGTTGGTGGTATGGGAAGCAAGTGGCTTTGTGCGGAGTCCCCGCTTCATGTGGGGGAATCTGCCTGCAGTGCGGGGACTCCGTGCATCTTTGTGCGAGGAATCTTCCTGCAGTGCAGGGACTCCACACCAATTTCATGTGGGGATCGGAACTCACTCTTTTTTTTTGCTTCTTTTTTTAAAGTTAAATTATAATTTTTTTTATATAAATTGGAGACAAAATCTTAGAATTAGAAAATATATATTAAATCTGATGATTGATATGCATTGATAGCAATTTTTTTTCCAGCTTACATGATATATATCATATATAAGTATATGAAATCACGAACATATGTTGGCGTGTGTTATGACATTTTTCATATATATGTTCTATTATTTGTGCAGATGTCTCTAGATTATATACTGTCACAAAACCAATGGTTTTCTGTTACTATCACTCAATACCCCAAATACCATTATGTAAAAGATTGTATAGAATTGCTTCAAGCAGATGAGCAATCACTTTTACTCTCTAGCAGTAGCAGTTTTCATGGATTTCTTTATGAATTTATGTATAGAGATGAAGAGCAACAATTCAACAGTAAACTAATACATGAATTTATAATGAGGTTTGTTGACTGTAGTAAAATGAATGAGGTGTGGGTGAGGTTGGAAGATCATTTTGCTCATTTTGGCTTGCAAGAATTTTGTCTAATCACAGGATTACCTTGTAATGAAGTATCTGTTAATCTTGATCGCAACAATTCTCGACTTAGAGATCAATATTTTGAAAGAAAAAAAAAGAATTAACATGAGAATATTTTACGATGCATTCCAATTGTGTGAAGATCCATAGGATAAATTAAAATTTGGATTGGTGATGTTAGTAGAATGTCTTTTAACACCAATGAAAAGATATATTGATTACAGAACTTTAGGCATGGTTGAGCAGCTGAATGATTTTCTGCTGTATCCTTGGGGCCGTAAGGCATACTTTGTTTTGTTGAAGTCGTTGCAACAATCACATATTGAAAGAATACAAAGAGTGCAACAGTCTGGCCAAAATGAATGTAGATATTTACTACATGGATACCCCCTTACCTTTTAGGTATTTTTTTCTTTCTAATTTATTTACTCTATATTTTTATTTTATATGTATTTAATATTGATTTTGAATTCTCTGTTATAGTTTAGGATATGCGAAGCATTTCCTCAAATTGGAGACAAATTTGGACGACGTATGTATAAGATATTACAGGCTCCAAGAATGCATAGATGGAAGCCAAAAAAATATTGAGTGAGAGAAGAGTAAAGCAATTTTTCACTACCCAAGAGGTACGATAATTTTAGATATACATTTAATTATCAATTATCTAATTATTTAATCGTGGGAGAGGAAAGTATTCTAATATTTTATTATATTTGTAGATTGAAGTATTTGCAGTGTTAGCACCACTGAAAAAGAATTGGACAGAGTTTGGTATATGACTTTATCATTACCAACTGATAACCAACATTTTATTTTAGATGGCATCGTTGGTGGAGAATTTGAGAATGCACGTTAACATATTCCACAACGTATGGATGAGCAACAAACAGGTGTTGCTGGTAGTTCAACAGCTCAGACTTCAATTGGAGTTCAGAAGCCTGGTTGTTCTTCTCTTGATTTCAACTATGTAAGAAGAGAAAAAATGGAAGAAATGTTCAGTATGTATAGGCAGCATGTAGTGTCAGATATGTCTGGCTTGTGTCATAATCTGAAGACATACATAGTTGATGAATCAAGAAGACAGGAAGCAAAAACTCTTCAAACCAGAGAGAAATGTTTGAATAACATCAGAAATGGTACGAAGATCAACACCAGGGTTCGGGCTTCCAATCTGGCATGCATTCCTATCATACTACTCAAGAAACAAAAGAACAAGATGCTTGTTATCAAGCATTTCTTGATCAACAAAAAGAAATGGTTCAACAACAACAGAAATGGCATGAAGTGCAATATCAAGGAATGCTTCAACAACAACAAAAACTACATGAAGATCAGTATCTGGGAATGCAGTCTTATATTAATAACAATTTTGCTTCCATGCAGTCTTATATGGACAACAATTGACGACAAAAACGAAAATGTGATGAATCATGATTTGGAATCAAAACTGGAAGCTATTGCTTGTTCACAGTTGCAGGATGTTCCTAGTTCTAGTAGTGGCCAGAAATCACTATATCAATAAATTCAACTGGTGAACATCTAGAAAAGAAATGAAAAATAAGAAAATAAAGTATTCAGGTAATCTGTTAGAAGACTATCTCATGAAAAGATATGCAACAATAAGAAAATGGGTGGCACGGAATTCATCCGGGTAAGAAATTTGATTGTATTTTATTAATTGTATTACATTGATTTAGTATTAATTTACACTACAATATATACATATAGTGCATATTGGAAGATTGTAGGAGGTGACAACTTATATGGAAGAGATACAATAAAAACTATAATGGATGCAATTAAAGATATCAATATTACGGTTACTGAAATTTAGAACTCTGGCTTAATTAATTTTATTTAATGCTCAACATATCTAATTTATTTATATTTATTGTATTAGCATATAGAAATGAAATTAAAGCTATTGAGAGAGTTGATCAATGAAGGTTGCAGTCTTGTTTCCAAAGAATATACAATTCTGAACTTCAAATTTGAACATGAATGTGCTACCCAATTGATGTGGCAACATAATGTAATGGCAGAATGTTTTATTCATTCTCAAAAGGATTTATTAACTGTGACTTTACAGCACTACATGAATGGTAGTTTGCCGGTGGTTGGGCGTTCATGAATAGCTTGCAACTATATATTAATTCCATGTTTATATCCAGGAAAAAATTGGTATCTCTGTCATGTTAATTTTTCGGAATGGAAAGTTCAAATATACGATTGTAGTGAGGAGTCTCATACACCAGAAGAAATCAGGGAACAAATAAAATTATTAGTTGAAATAGTCCAAATTTCATTGAATTCTAGCAATTTTTCTTCTAGGAGACCGGATTTAAGGAAGCATAGAAATAAAATGCTCAATTTGGAAATTATACCTTACCTACCTTCTGCAAATAACGAGTATGTATTTAATGCATTTAAATTGACAATATTTATTCTTTCTTGATTTATGATTTTACCCTTCCACTATTTATTTTGTCTAACAGAAAATAATTCTTTGATACAGGGCAAATTCTCTAGTATTTTTACTCAAATACATAGAATGCTTTGTTTTAAACTATCCATTAGAAACAGTTGAAGCAGACATGATGAGTATATATAGAAGAAATATTGCAGTAGACATTTGTTATAATCAATATTTTCTACATCCCCGTAGTTCCTAATTAGTTTTTGATTGTAAATGTGAAGAATTTGTAATAAATAAACAATTTGAAATTAGCTTAAAGTTATTTTTTTTGCAACTACATAAATATAAAATTTAAAAGTGAAAAATTGTGCATGAATATTTTAGCTGTTTATTTGCTTTAAATAAAGTAAATGAAAGACAAAGAATAAACCAGAATATACTTTAGAATATATACTTCATTAATGTTGACAATTCACTATAAAAGTACAAAATAAATATTCTACTGTCCATAATAAATGGATAGCAGTAAATGATGCAAGTATCATGTTATACATACATCATTTGTCAACATTATGGTTTTCAAAATAAAGCAAAATAAAGAAAAATAAAGCAGACAACAAGAAGCCATCTATTTTTTTCCCAGACAAAAAGATTTCAGTCATTCTTCACTCTGTCTTTTGCTTTGGAGCAAACGGATTTATGTCAAATATATTTGAAACTATGTTTGCATCACAAGTAGCATTTGAATTTGAAGCATCATTCGAAGATTTGAAAAGGGCTCTCTTTGCTGGAGGCGACCAATTTTTCTCAGGCGAGTTTGTATGGATACTTTTCTCAACATTTTCTTGGCTTTTTTCTCTTGGGGTATTTCTATCGTCTAAATCTATCAAATTTGTCACGGAGATGATGTCAAATCTATAATTTGAGGAATTAGGTTCAGTTTGAAATGCTTTCAAGTATAATGCTCGTGGAGTATCCTGCATTTTTTGAAGAGTAACTTCAAATTTTGTCTGTGAATCCTGTATGCCAATAATGTATATTCTATTAATATTATTGTCTAGGAACATAAATATATTTATGGACTGTCAGGATGTTTAAGTCAGGTAAAAATTCTTATAGAATTTGCTTCCTCCATCAATGATTCTGCATTTATAAACCACAATTTTCTGCCACTTCGCCAATTGCACTTGCATTAATTGAGCCTGTGACATCTGACAATTGCACATATGCTCTAGCCTTAAAATAGAATAAAAATAGATAAAACAAACATTGAAGAGAATTAGAAAAAGTATGTATACAAGTAAATTTACCAAGTCTAATAAAGGAAAATATAAAGATCAATTACTACTTCATATTATCGAGGAATAGCTTTGAGTTTGGATTCTTGCAAAAAATATAGAGATATGTTTCTCCAAAATCAACATTGGATCGTCTGTAGCAGTTGTTACAAGCTATATACCAAGATTTGTTATCAATTTTGTCTACAGTTGCTATGCCGTTTACCCAATAAAACTTCCGCTTTTCCAACAGAAATGAAGAAAAAATTAAGACATATTATAAATAACAAATAGAAATTAATTACATCTATATAACATGTAACATTACCGCCAATAGACGTCCTTGAAGATTTTGATTTGGAGTGAATTTATTTCACACGGGAGGAGAAAGTTTTTTGGCATTTCTCTCCGTGTATGGTTTCTTCAATACCAAATCATCGATTTCAATTGAAATTATTTTCACCCTAAATTAGTTCAAATAATATGAACACATTTAGAAGAATTAATATGTGCGAAATAACAAAAAAATAAACACTAAAGTTAAAACAAAAGAAATGTACCATTCTGTCATTTCTTTCACTCTTGTGAAAGGTGTATTTATAAAGAATGTGCTACGGACTTTTGTAGATGATTTCAAGCCTCTATAAGAATTTTTATAATATATATTAGTGGTGACTGTGTATAAAATATTACATGTGACTATGTGTGCGGTAATATATGTGCTTGGTTCGTAATATATGTACTTGGTAATACATACCAAAGAACGACGTAACTTTGAGATGTGTAGCAAAGATGACAGGTTTTTTCTCAACATTCTTTGCTATTACTACATATTCTCTATCTATAAAAGAGTTCCAAAGTGTAAGCACCATTGTTGTGAAATTTTTGTCCAAAAGTATGACATCTTGTACCCATGTTTGATTGCCACCTTTCGATTGAATCATTCGTTTATGTATGATATCTATTGCAACAGCGAGTATATCTAAAAATTTAAAATTAGAAATGATGTTACTTTTATATGCACCATTAAATAAGTCAAATATATTATCAAACAACAAATGTGTAACTCTTACTCAAATCAGCATCTATATTCATATATTGTTCAACTTCCTGAAAAGGCGTTAGGTGATATTTTGAAAAAACAAATTCCAAATTATCTTCTTTTAGTTCAAGAAGACGAGTTTCTCCAGATATAATTCAGTGATAAGATCCTATAGAATATTTATAGTTAGTCATATTGTTCTTCACATAGGCTTTTCAAATAGCATAAGTTTTTCCCAGGATAAGCTGATCTTCAAAAGCATTGATATTGAAATCATATAAGCTAGCTTGGATAATATTGCCCTGAAAAATGAGAAGGAATTTCATAAATGTTGGTATTATGTGTATATGTATATGTATGACATAAAAAGAGTTACCACTTATCCATACATTAATCCATATATTAATAGTACGTGTATGTGTGAAGAAGACTACCTCAATATCCATCAACACCAGATGTTGATACCTTCCATTGCCTTGTTTTGAAGGTTTTGGTGATTATTTCTATACTACAATAACTCTGACTTTCCACTTCTGAGTGTTCGAGATAAATTCTGGTATTAGTTGGTATTCTTCCATTTTCAGACTCAAACAAAGATTTTGAAGTAAAAGATTTATGGTGTGTGTGTGTGTGTGTGTGTGTGTGTGTGTGTGTGTGTGTGTGTATTATTATTTTTTTAAAGCACCTCTTGTGATCAAAACAAAAAATGACATGGTTCAATTTATAGCGATAAAGTTTGAAAAGAAAGCATGTAAGATCAAATCAACCTTACAGCTATGGGTATTGCCAAGTAAATTTCTCTTAACTATGCGAGCAAATAAAACTTTCAAACTTTTTGAGTATGGATACAAATAGTTGAGTATGGTGGAATCAAGCAATAACCAGGGTATGGTTGGTGCAATCAAACAATAATAGAATGGATATGGCAAGCAATCCGAATGACATGGTGAATTCAAGCAACAATCAGAATGGGTATGGTGAATTCAAGCAACAGTTAGAATGGGTACGGTGAATTCAAGCAATAATCGGAATGGGTATGGTGAAATCAAGCAGTATTTCAGAAGCAATATTCAAAATAGGTATGGTGAAACCAGGCAATAATCAAAATTAAATAAGATGTTAAATAACGTCACGCAATAATTTTGTCAGTAAAACTATCAATTATTAAATAAAGAAAACTATAAAATGTGAGAGGTTGATGATTGGGTTATGTAACAAAAACTCAAATGTAAAAAAATTTGAAGCTTAAGAAAGTAAAAAACAGAAATATATAATAAAAAACATATACCAACATAATAAAATTGCCGATAATTTGCTCAATATAATCTATATCATTTTCTTTAAAAAGTATATATTATGTACGTTAACCATTTATTTAGAAGTCAAAATTCAAATTAAGCAAAATAGCAACACTTTCTCGAGAGAGTTATATACGATCTTTACGCATAACCGAATGTCGAATTCCCAATATACTCAAATACGAGAGCAAACCTTCCTTTAAATTGTGATGGTCGCAGAATTAACCAAAAACATCAATACTATAGGGCAAAAAGAATGTTATATTTCAGTTAAAAACATTGCAGTAAAAAGAAAGGAAAAAATATAGTCTATGAAACTGTTGATGAGATAATTAACTACTGGATAAATATAAAAATTAAACATTATTGGCGTGGGAATATCATCAGCAAAAAAATGTTTCATAAACGTATTAGAGTCCTATTGTTATGGTTTTTTTTGTAAACTATAAATATTGGAGATTCTCTATTTAATAGTTCAAATACACATCTATCGCCAATTTATAGTTGCTTGTGTGCCAGAAAATCTGCTTAACCTACACTAAGACGGCGCATTACACCATTTCCTCTTAAATTTGCGATGATATCCCAGTAGTAAAGTAAAGAGTCGAAG